AGATTTTTCTCTACGAATATTACAAATCTTTCTACCCATCTCTATCTAAGCAATGCATGGGAAGACTCTAGAAGTTTGAAATATAACGTCAAAGCACGGGGAGAATGGAAGATAGATTTTAGTTGGTTAATAATCTTAATTTACCCAATGCATAACAGTATTCATGATCAAGGCTCCTGCCTACTGTCATATCTGATTTCTATAGTTGTGTCTTAGTTAATTGAGTGACACTAAAACAGAGCATCGCAGTAACAATACATTAAAATATTGAACAGCATCTTATTTGCTTTAACAATCCGTTTATAAATTTGCTGAAGTGGTGATGCTATTTCAAATCGGGTATCATGTCTATCATATGTTTTTGAATTTCAATCTTTAACTAACGATAACGGCTAGCAAATACATCTATGAACAATCATTTAAAGCAAAAAGTGTCCAGCTGCAGACACACACACACACACACACAGATTATGACAGATTTAGTACGTCTTTGGCTTTCATATTAAAAATCAATAAAACCATCAAGCAGGCTGCCTTAGCTTAGAGTGTGAGAAGAACATGGAGTACGACAAGCAATAAGAAAGGATCAAGAAGAAGAGGCGGGGAGCTTCATGTTCTTGAGAAAGGATCAAGAAGAAGAGGCAAGGAGCATCATGTTCTTGAACTCCTGGAAATCAAGGCGACCATCTGAGTTGGTGTCGTAGGCGCAAATCATGGCGGAGCAGTCCCTGCCATAGTGGTCGTCCCATAAGTGGAGCTTCTTCAACACGCACTCCAGTTCTGGGCTGGTGATGAACCCATCTCCGTCCAAGTCAAACACCTTGAAGGCCTCCGCCAGGTCACTCTCCACGTCATCCCCCGGCCCTCTGTTATCATCGTTCTGCTTCGATATGGACTCCCAGAAGAACAAGAACCCGTTCAAGTCCAGGTTCTTTTTGCCGACGAAGGATTCAAGCTCGTCGGGGCTAAACTCATAATAACCTATCTTGTCCAGCAGCCATTTCAGCTCTTCAAGGCTCACCAACCCATCCTCGTTCATGTCCAGCTTCTCAAAAATTCGCTGCAAGTCACTGGATGTAAGGGGAGACATATTCACTTGCAAAATTTTTGATACGACACGATACTACACAGAGTCGCCGCTTTCGGCGCCCTTTGGGGTTGACGCAACCACAAGCTTATTATTATATGCTGAGGAAAGAGGCTTATGATGATACTGCATACACAACACTTGCTGAGAGAAAGAGCGCCATATATATATATATGCGGCCACTTGCTGAAGAGGTGCATGCGGGCTAGATATCTTCCACAGATCATTAAAATAAAGTTAATTCTGGTAAAAAAATTGATAATTTAAAAATAGAGAAATATAAAAAATTGAGTGCGTAGGAACACGACACGTGTCTGGGGGAAGGAATTTAATTAATTAATTAAGAATTGCGATGGTGTTGTGTACGGGAAAGGTACAGCGAGCGGTGCCGGAATATGATGTGAGGAATAGGAAACGAATAATGAGGGTCGGGACCATTATTCCCTGAAGCGTGTGGACGCCAATGGCCACGTTCCCTTTCAACGCAGCTTGCACGAAGTTTCGCATCCTGCTTTCTTCCAATTTGCTCATTTCCTTCTTCATGTTCAATTCAACCTTCCACTTACCCCCGGGCTCACGTCTATTTCAGATTACTAATGCTGATAACTTTTTTTTATGACAAATTACCACTATTAAATTACAATTTGAACAATTTGTTCCCATATAATCTAGGATTTCTCTCTCTCTCTCTCTCTCTCTCTCTCTTAAAAGACCGGCATGATAGGTATGGACTATGGACTCTTCATCGATTAATGATTCTGGGTTTGATACCGTTAAAGATTTTAGGCAAGCACCGAGGCAGCATATCCAAGCACAATAAAATAGAGTAGGGGAGTTTCGCACAGCATGAGATTGCAATCTCTGCTTGAATTTGTTTTGGTTAGCTTAAAGTCACTTTCAGGACGATTCTCAATTTGTTTTGGGACGGCGGCGTGAGTACTTCGGCGAAAGACTTCCAAAAGCATTCAAATACGTGTTCACTGCGTGTGGCTCCATCCCTCATATCATTCTAACACGTATCTCTCGATCATTGCTTTTACTTTATTTAGGGTTAATATAATATTCTTGTTCATTAAATTTATCCTCGTCTCATTTTGATTTTAGTTTTTTAAGTTTTAAATTAGAAATATCGGTCTCTCAAATAATAAAATGATCTGAGTTTTTATTAAATTATATGTTTTTAATCAAAAGAAATTTGAGAAACAAAAACCTCTAATTTAAAATTTAAAAGCTTAAAATCAGACAAATTTATATCAGCCTTTTATTTTATTTACATTCCTGTTTTCATGCTAACAAACCAAACCTGATTTTATTTGGACTGGCGACATAAGCGAGGCCGTTATGAATGGAGAGGGTTTCAAATTTCACGGTAAAAAGGTTCAAGTTTAAGTTTTGATCAATTAATTAATTAATACTTCTTCTTATTTTATAGTGTAAAATGGGTATTCTATTTTATATTTAGAATAGGAGGAATGAATCAAGCTGTTACTAACCCCTGGGGAGTTCATTGTGCTGGGCGAATCAGAGCTTTTCCACGTCTCAGGTTTCACGGCAACCTACTCACCAATTAATAATTATAGAAGAAGCAAATCGACACAGCCTGAACAGCAAGTGATACGCCAAGGGTTGGACAAGACTCGTTGCAGGCTTCGAGGGGATTGTATTATTCTCAAACACTCAATCGTGAGAACACTGGTTTCGTAATAATCTAAAAACCACATTGGGTTGCAGCACTGAAGCCGTGGAGCCTCACGTTAGTTCATAGAGCTTGTCAGATCTGGAAATGGTGCGATTCCAAACTATTTCAGGAGAATTTTTTGACGGCTCCTGATATTTTTCGTTCTTCCGGATAGGCTCTACTTCCGTTCAATTGAAGAAGCCGCCCAATAGAAGCATATGGAAACGAGACTAGCCTACTATAATATGAATGTAAGCGCAGTATCAATATACTCTGCTTCACCTCCAATTGGTTAATCATGTAAAAATTTAGCAGCCACTGCGAATACATACAATATTTACAGAAGAGGATCTAAGTGGTCGACCAAATCGTGATCATTTCGATTCTATTTATAAAAGGGAAAAAATCAGAATACAGATACAAAACAAACGAATCATGAAGTAACAAGTAAGCGGCCAGATCATGCTCCTGGGAATCAGAGCTGCACTTCGAAGTGGAGTGGGTTCCACAAGATTGTCGCCCCCGAAACTGGAGGATTATGCAAGCGATTACTCAAGTGCCTCCTGAGGTGGAAGATCATTATTATTGAACATAATGCGAGGCTTGCCCATGCTGAAATTAAGCACCTTTGCGTTCATGTTGTACTTGATTTCCCCATCGTACAGTAGTTTCCTTATGTAGTGCTCTATGTCTGAACCAATCAGGCGAAGCGTGTATTCCGTCAAGGGAGCACCCTGCCCAATCAATTCGTCTCAATGCTTAGTCACGGTACACCACGCGCCTCAAAAATATTTATTAACACGACTACCAGTCCAGAACTACTGACTTCATTATGATTTAAAACTAAAGAACGTTGTTGCTGACCAAATAAAGAATTGTCGAAATTATAAAAGAACAAACTCGCAGGCAACAAACCTCACCAAAAGCCACACAAAGAATATGTAATCGATGGTAAGAGGTTTAATTACGAGAAGATGGGAACAACTACCTCGTAATGATCGACAAGCTCCTGGAAGTAAGAGAAAACTTTATTGCAAGTATCGGGATTCCACACAAACTCATCGGTGGGATCAAGGATAAGAGTGAGCTTATCCATCTGGGTCTGATCAAACTCCCAAGTGACAGGGTCGATATATGCGGCATAGATTCTCACATGGCGGGTAGCGCAGCTAAGCCATTGTCCTCCGTATTCCCTACTCATGTTTTTGCTCTTCACGTTCCTTTGTGGTTCCACAGGCCTTGGTTTCACTCCTTTGGGGTTCATATTCTGAGTTCCACTGCCTACTTGTGCTTGCTCTTGCTGTACTTCCGCTTCCTTCTCAACTTCTGCTTGCTGTTGAGCCGAAATGGGAAATGCTTTCCGGTTCCTCGAGTCTCTTCTGCTACCAGTGAAACCCATCATGGGTAATTTGGTTGAAAGCGCGCTGGAGAAACTTGTGGCCATGGCTAGATGCTATCATAGCATCGCAGAGCAAGAGAGTTTAAATTCAGCTTTGTTTAGTGGTGGCGAGTTCCTCCAGCTATGGATAAGAGTAGTGTGTCCGTGTGCGTGCTTTTGTAATAATGATGTAATGCAAGGATTTCAAGCAAGTGTTCAGTTAAGTCATCAGTTTAATTTAGTTTAGTGGTGGTGAGTTCCTTTGGTCTTATCATGAGGAACACGTGTCAAGACAAGAGGCTCTGAAATTGAGACCTCATTTTATTTCCGTCAGGGTTTTTTTTTTTTTGAAAATAAATTCCATCGCTCATTACTTTATTCCACCTCGCCGGTAAATTTTCTGCTCCTCAGTTTTTAAACATTTGAATGCATAATAAAAGCCCACCATTTATGTTACACAAACGAAGATACATAAACTGACTAGTATAGATCGATTTGATATATAGCCAGTCAAACAATCAGCAAAGGACTTGTTTGGGAGAGCTTAAGAAATCTCCTATAAACACATTTTACGTAAACCGAGACAAAACTCTTTTTACATACTTGTGTTATATTCCGTAAATTACTATTAAAAAGCTATTTATAAGCTACTCTTCTGGTTTTAAATATAAGATCTTTATATATACTATATAAGGGTTTTATATTTTGGACTGGAAGAGTACTTATAAACTGTTCCAAATAAGCCCAAAATCCTTTTATTCCACTTGAAGCTAAACTTTGAACATGAAGCATACAATTGTCATTTCTCCTCAACCGATGCAAAGAGAGAGTCAGGAACTCCCGTATAATGAATACAAAATTTCAAATCTCAAAAAACTTCTCATATATCTCTGCTTAGAGCATGTTACGCACTCAGGCCGTGAAGAAAAGTTGCGACGCAGTAGGAGAAAGAATAAGGAATGATGCATGAATGAAATGTAACTTCAATACTTCAAGGTAAATTGACCCGGCTCAGAATATTTCCCCTCCAGTTGTTCAATTTTGTTGAATTTAAAACCCCTAATCCTTTCTACCTCGGGCTCCGCGGTATTTTTGTAGTCCACAGTTTCGAGGGTCCACCCTTTGTTTTTGACAGAACCAACCACGTCCACCTATTAGAAGATGAATAATAAACCACCTCAATTACTTACACTCAATCAAGCACAAGACGATCGTAGCATCTGCTTTCATATTTTTGAACTTAGAGCAAATATTCTTTAGAAGCAGCCGCTATGGTATCTTGGAAAAACTTTCAATAACATAAAATGCAGCCACATTGACTAGCCATACCTCTGCATCGTCAGCAGCATCAACGACAAGAGCCCCATCCAAGGACAGGTTCTTTAGGTTGACTTTTTTACCCTTAATGACCAATGTAGACCTTTGAGAAATGGAGCAACTTCCACTAACTCTCTTCTTAATTTGAGAGAAGGTCAGACCCCATTTTGGTTTCCATGTGATACGAGGCCACACTTCCACCTCTTGCCCACTAATAACCTGCAATTCTGGACCTGCTACTTCGACACCAGCCTGGTAGAAATAAGTTTGCAGGGAAAATTGATCAGAACGTGGAACTTTGGAATTGAGTTCACTGGCATTTAGGCAGTAATGCTTGCCTGCCATAAACAAATACACCATCAATTGAGCAACGTTGTGAGCGACAATGCCACACTGCTCCCAGAAGTCCAAGGAAATAGTTACGTTCATATAAAATATTACACCCTCAATCAGTTAATATATTTTAAAACTAACACATTCTCTAAAGTTTAATCCCATATAGATAAAAGGAAATCAAAGACGAAAGTATCACATCCATCCGCCAATGTTGCCCATGCAAGATGAAAATATAGATCACGCCATTTTCCAAAATTTTAAATGGAAAAAATATTACGAGGTCCAAGGAAAGAAATAACAAACAAAAGTCTTAATGACACGTGAGAAGTTATCACTTCTTACATCGGAGCTTGTCATTATTGATTGCTCTGCTGTCAATGGGACTTCCTATTAATTATGTCCCTTTTTTGGGACTCTATAGCAATTCTTCCAATTAAATATCATGTCCAATCCGTCATCAGTTTCTCTTATCTGTGTGAAAGAATATGCATGCCTTTGCTGAGAAAAAGAGATCTACTAATATTCGGTTGATAATACTTTGGTGACTTTTGGCTGACTCTCAGAGAAAGAACGAGGATGGAAGACAAAGGAATTCATACAACTGACTGATCGAAAGAAATGGAAGAACAGTTTTTGGTTAAAATCACAAGGTGTTATGATTGGGGGTACTGTAATAATGCAGATCTCTAGGCGCTTTGTTTAGAAACTGGAATCTTTAGCAGTAAGATCACATTGATTTGTTGATGGAACTAAGGGGCATACAGCCTTTTTAACCTTCCAGTTCTTAGCATGGAGAAGATTATTAACCATATCGCATCCAAGCAATCATGACTAGTAATAATAATATACATTACCTTTTTCAGAATGAGGCTGTTTGATCGATAAATGGCCATTTCCCCAGAAGTTGCACTATGATATGGATTTCCTTTTGGTACCTTCAGTTAAAATAACAAAAATAATATTAAAATATTTTTCCTGAACGTTTTAGTAATATATGCGGAGGGATTTGTTTTAATATTGCTCAAACTTTTCTCATATCCAAAGCATTTAAAATCAAATCAGCATCACCTAAATGTTCGATGAAATCTTTTGAATCTACGCCTTTAATAGGGATAAATTTTGAAATCAAACAATCAAGACAGGGCTGCCCACATTGAAAAAATTCATCGTTTTCTTTTGCAATTTTTCATAGAGCACCCTAAGCACATGTGCATTCTTTACAGGCCAATGCTCTATGCATTCTAGTTGTACCTTAGCAGCATCTTCCGGGTTGTTCTTCACAGGTGCATAAGCAAGCCATGAATCCATGGTCTACAATACAAAATTGCATAAATTGAGAGAGGAAGCACTGAGTATAACAGTGAAAACAGCAAGTACGTTTCTTTGTAATAGAAAATGTTGCAGAATCACGGGAAGGCATATTTTATTACAGGTTGACTTCATCAGTGATATGTGAGTAAAGTCAAACTTTATTTATTTATTAATTTTCACAAACTACGGTGAAGTTGGGAGGATAAAAATTTGGAAAGCCAGAGAGGAAAAACAGAAAATGGGATCAGTTTATGGAAAAGTGCTTAAATACATATAAATTAAAAACATGAATGTATTGTGGGCCAAAATTCATCAAAGTAATGTCAATGGGTGCAGCCGCTAGTAGCATCAACTTTGATGGCTGTTTGTTGGCTTATTATTCAGTCACATAGCACATTATAAGTGAAGTATTTGGTCAAAATATTTTTCCTGCAGAAAATCACATGACAGTTTCTGGTTGAATTCAAATAGAGGACCCAGCAAAATTTCAACCTTCAATAACACGTGCAATGACCAATGCCCCTAAGGCCCAGTCATGTTTCATTATCTAGAAATCCATATTTCTTTGCTTGAAATACTAATTTACCGTGAATCCAACCCTTGCAGATGCGGGCAATGTTTTGGGATAGTCTTGCATCATACATTCAAGTCGAGTAGAGGACTTAAATGAAGTTTTACTGGCATCTTTGTACCTGCAGCAAGTAAATACTGCTGTCAAGCTTCTGTTATCCACAAAAGAATTCCAACAAAAATGGTAATTCTATAACAAGTTTCCACCAAACTTTTTCTATCCGGAGAAAAGACTAAAGGATATTTAAGCTTCTAGTGCATCAACAAAATGATCGTGAAAGCAACTAAATAAAATTAAAGCACGCTATAGCGATGCATGGGGGGAAATCAAATATAATGAGCACAATTAATTAAAATTACTTCGGGTTAACAAACTCCTGGATAGCACCTCCTGTTTTTGTGAGCTCTTCAATGTAAGGACCAAGTTCTAATATCAACTGTTAAATAAAAGATAAGATATTTGTCACTAAAAAATATGATGTGAAGATGAAGAAGGTCAACTAAATCAGAAGATGGCTATTACGAAATAAAAATAATCATTATAACAAAATCATTTTCAGCCTTTGATTTTAAGTACATAAAGAGGTCGAGAACCATAAAAGGAGTGGCAGGTGAGGACACTCTCTTTGTTTGATAATTTGGAGATACAGCTAACACTAGGCAGAGTCTCAGGAGACATATCACACTAAAAAATTTCTACGCACAAAAGTGCAAATAATACATCACTATTGGGATACATAGCAACTATATGGTGTAATAGTATTAACCTGCAATTGGTCATCACTGACACAAAGAAAGATTATTGGAAAGATGCCATGGAGTTCACATGAAGGGAAGAAAAACTGAATTGATTACTTCTTAAATTATAAATAGAGTGCTCATGCAAAAAGTTAAGTAAATAATACAGATAAAGAAACACTATTTGAAAGCAATAATAAATAATTGAATAAAAGCTCATTCCAAGAAGGGGCATAAACAGAATATTGAGATTCACAATTACTTGGTTTATATTTCCTGGATAAGGTGAGTAGCCAGTCTCACAATTGGCATCACCTTCAGGGTGTCCAGTTGCCTTGAGGAGAGGATCTAGTTGATTGTATTCCACATTTATCACCATTGCCCTCCCTGGGATGATTTGTCTTTCAGGTAGATATTCAAATGATAGAAATAGGGTATTAATATGCCATTTGAATCGCAAGCATATTTGCAAAACTCATTGAACTGAAATAATGAAGTCAAGAGAAAAATCAAGCATGTTAAATAGCATGCGTATAGGGCTTTAGAGTTAAATCTCTAAACCTCTTAGTCCAAGGTATCAATGGGGTCAAACAAAAAACTTGCTAGTTTCAGCAGAGGCAAACATTGCCACAAGATTTCAAACTTATAAACTCACTAAATCCCTTTTTAACAAAGGAGATAATTGGCCCCAGTCAGAATGAGGTAGCATTTTCAGTCCTCAATCCATGACAGCACAATAGATTTTCTTTTTGTCACTACAGACAGAACATTAATGAACCTCTAACTATAATCCCACTCAGTCTTTGTACTTCACCTCAGAGAGAAGCAGCAGCAGCAGCAGTCCATCAAGCAGCAAGAAATATCATAGCATTTTCTGTCCCAGGTTGGCAAGGATTGATGGTCCGATGGACACTGATTTTTGGTTCTGTTGTCTTATGAGCTGTTGCTAGTCAGCAACGCTAAACGTTTTGAACTAATAGTTTGATTTTCTTTAGGTAAACTAACATTCATTTAAACAATTTGAACTAATACTTTGATTTTCATTAGGTAAACTAACATTCATACTTTCTTCACATTTTTTTTCTATAGAACTTCATCCATTTTAACACAACTTGTAGTCCTGTGACTAAGATTTTAAACCAGTGCTAGATGGTCAGTAGCATGAGCAGGAAATCTAAATTACATTTACCTATCAGAGCCCAACAATATGAATAATATTAGGTCAGGACCTATCCTTAAAAGATCAAGCATAAAAAATACTACTCCGATCCTTAACATAGGACCTAATTGTTGAGTTGCTACTAGTCCTAAATGTAAGACCTATTTCTCATATTTATCAATTTTTCCTAAATTATCCCTATTGATACTTCCTCAACCATAATCAAGTAGGAGAGGGAGGAAGGATACTAAAGAAGATGATTATGGTGTTTTAGGAAAAATATGTCATTTTTTATAATTAATTAACTTACCTAACTTCCTTAATTTAATCATATTAGTTAAATAGATACCACCTCCGATCCTAATTATAAAAACTCGTTTGTAATCTACAAACGAAGTCTTATAATTAAGACCGGAAGTAGTATTACATTAAGGATTGGAGGAGTACAATTTATTGCTTATCCACTTCAGAACCAAAACAGTGATGTCAACAAACTCCACTAAAACACGGTAGCAATTGAGATTGCATATCACAGATGCTTTTCTGTGTCTATTAGGGAAACAGATGGAATTACCATCAGAGTGAGTGAGTCTGGTAATCCCTCCTATAGCTTCTTTTGCTTTCCGAGGCACAGCAACAGAGTTAACACGGTACTGTTTGGTAGCACTGACACCAAGTGCTGCAGGAACTGCCTGTACACTCGAAATTACTAGGCAATGAATATTTGCATTACATGAATGAGCAGTCCAAGAGATAGTAACAGGAGATATGACATGTGAAAACAACTGACCCTGAATAGAAGTCCATTTGTATCTTGAAAAAAGAGCACCCATTTCAAACCAGCAACAAGCCTGCCAAATGCAGATAGCATTGAACCTATGATCAAACCGTTTATCAAAGGAAAGAAATATCGTCTAGATATTGTTTTCTAAAACTCTGGAACACCATTCAATTAATTTTAGGGACGCTGGAAATCAACATTTTTTTTAACACCCATTCTAGGTGCCCACATTTTCCCTTCCATTTCTAGTAATTTGTGAATGTAAACCCATCAATCTAGAGACTATGTCAACCAAGATTTCTAATCTTACAGCCCTTATATCTATCTATATATGTATATATATTTTGGCGATAATGTGCCCTAATATTTACAAGATTCTGAAAATTACCAAGACATTCAGATACGATATCCTTTAATTTTTAACAAGTAAATTAAAAGTTTTGATATGAACATGATCAATATAACACTAGAAGCAGGAAAATATAAAAGAAGACAAAGACATATCTGTTTAAGTTTATATTAATATCATGAACAGAAAAATCTTTCTAATCTGTGAGCCGTACCATACTTTCAGAAGACCACTGGAATAAAGAAGTGCATGCACATCACCATGTCCATGAGGTTTTGTCTGTAAAAAGAGATATTGTTATTGCACTTCATAAATTGAAATGAAATTCTCTGGATTCAATTTTGCTAAGTAAAATTGTCAGCCATACAATTATAAACTCCGTCACTCGCTACACAATACCTGAATCTTGTATTTGTTATGTGGATCCACTGCTAGCCTGGCATCATTATCATCCAAACATGCGACTTTTTCCTGATATGTACAAAATTTAACAGGCTGACGAAAGCATTTTAAAGCTAAATTGAACTTCCCCTAGGGCATCAAAAGTCATACCTGCTTCAAAAGTTTCACTTGTGTGGATTGCATGCCAAAATAAGAATTTGATTCCAAGAGTTCTAAGGTACGTGCATGTGTGTCATCAGATGTCATAATGACAAAAGGAATCTGTGTCTGGCATTCACCTAAAAAATTCAAAGCAGCAACATTATATGAATATAACTAAAATGAACATATGAAATCACAGTGCGGCACTGTTTGATCAAGGAAGGAGAGAAAGAAATCTTGAGGGCTAACCCAGAAATTTTAACAACAATCCATATTGAATCTCAAATATGATCCATTCAAGACGACGTATTATGTGCTACATGTAAAAGAAAAGACAAGGATTTCATAATGACAGATTGACGATCTATTGATTTCATAAAAAAATGGTTTTAGAAAAGAGTATAAGCAAATTCTTAGGGGAATCTCCAGAATAAAATATGGTGAATCTTGAAAATGTAGCGTACTCCCGTTTAAGATCTATACAGGCTAACAAATTCATGCTTTCCATTTTGTACATAAGGCAACTAAAACAGGAGGCAAGAAACAGCTCTATTATTATGCATAAGATTGACCTGGTAGGAGTTTACAGCTGGCATCTTGAAGAGCCAATATATATTCTATATAATGCTGTAGGAAACATGCTCCGGTAGTTGTTTCTACAGGAAGAGAAACCTGTGAGATGAAAAAAACCACCAGTTGAGAAACAGGATAACAAACAGACGATAGTTTCACATATGGTAATGTTAGACATGCGTAACAAACAGTAAGGCATCATAATAAAACAAATTAAGCAATAAGACTATCATTGTCTATGTGGCCAAAAAGTGGACTACCAATAAGACCACGGCTATGGCCTATGACAATATTTGAAGCATCCAGGTTAGATGGTGGGTAGTGAAAATCTTGCTCAACATTATGGAAAGGCACTAGTATGACTGGGGTCTCCATACATCAGTATCAGATACAGATAGAATATAAACTCACTGTCATGTGGGTGTGTGTGTGCCGCCTCCAATCGTACTTGTTCTTTTTTGACAGGAAAGGTACAAGAAAAATTCAATATGGAAGGATGGGGAAAATTAGAAGAGGATAGACAATCCTCAAACGAAACTTAAAAAAACACATAAAAACTCCCAAAAAAACCAAAAATCTTTAAGTGATTATGTAGGGAAACCAGATGACCTTGATTCCATTGTATCCAAGACGCTCCCCAAGGCCCCCTGCAACAAGAACAAATGCAGCTTTTCGAGCTTCCTTTATACCCACCTCCTCAAAATTGGTGAAATTATCATCAGCAAATGTTAAATTCTCACCAGTTGGAACCTACAAAATATTGACATATGAACTTATGATATATCCAGCTTTTTCTTAGAGAGAGAGAGAGAGAAGGAAAAATAATGAATCATTTTTGCAAGACAAAAGTACCTTTTTCATAATCAGTAATGACTATATTATTCAGTACTTTTTTTAGTTACACTTTGTCGTTTTATTTTCATTTAATCTCCTATCTTTGTATACTCATTTTGATGTATTTATATATCTATTAATTTTTCTATTTTATATACATTTATCTTGATTAAAATCTTGATTAAAAATTATTTAAAATTAAATTTCAAAATATTTATTCGTTCATATAATATTAAATGCAAAATTAGATTTACTTATGCCTTTATCAGTAAGTTGACAGCCAAAAAATGCTTTTGAAATATTTGTCCACATGATATTCAATAATATTAATTAAGAACCTAATGTATCAAATAATTTCACTAAACAAAAACTGGATTGCTCTCACATGATATTCATCTTAAAATTCCGTATACAGAATTATTTAGAATAAATAAAAAAATCATCGCAATCCTTTGCGGCTTAGTTATATATCCAAAAATCATACTAAGAATATCCCCAAAAAAAAAAATCATACTAAGAATTCCAACATCAGAAGCTTCATAGAGTCAACACAAGAAGATAAATTATTATAAGACAACTTTGGCCAAAAAAAAAAAAATTGTAAGACAACGTGCTATGTAATCGTAGACTTCACACCAGCGTATATGTAGATCACTCACAGAAGGCGTGAAGCCATCAAAAGGATTCTTTCCATCTTTCGAATCAGCCAAGAGTCCTCTAGCGGTCTTAATGTATGACGCCAAACCCCCAGGATAGCTTGAATTTAGGCGAGCCACCTAGAGAAATTGCTGTTAGAGGAAGATAACATGCAAGAAGATATGGTTCTTCAGACATCTTCAAACAGATGACACCAGTATTATACTATCACGACTACAGATTTTAAGAGAAAACAAGTTCCCGTTCAAAGACAAGACCTTCAATTAGAACTGCAGAAGCTTGTTTCTAGCCTTGTTTACATAGTAATACGAATATCTTACGCCATGCCAGTCGAACCAGATGATAGGGTCATAAGAAACATGTATTAAGATTAATTTAATATTTCATAATGAACAAGAAAAATTGGGAACAATCGCTATAGGCGAAGAAACTAACAGAACCACAATTAGAAGTTAAGAAGGCTGGGGGAGATAGATTGGAGTGCTAGTTTAATTTGAACGAGCACGGCGAGTTCTCATCAGATCAATTTCTATGGAATACTTCAAACAGTTACCCAGCATTGATGCAGACGAAATCACTACGCCGCACATTGCAATCCAACGAAGCTAACGATTTTCAAAATGCAAGCTCGGATAACCCAATTGCCCGAACAAAATCAACCGGTTAATTAATCAAACTTGAATGTCGAAATGCAAGCGTAGAGCTCCTACCTGCTCGAAAAAGCCTTTCTTTTGGTCGTCATCTACACCCGGATTCGCCCATTGTTCAAACAAATGACTTTGCCCCATCTCCATCAGCATCTTCGCGAGCCCAACCTGGTTTGGTTATTCCCACACCACAACAAAGCCATTTCACATCAACAGTTAACAAAGGAAACGGATGCGGGCGCAATAAAGAAAAATATCCACACACATGTAGCGTGAGCCACACCTGTTCTTCCGAAAGAAGGTTGAGATTTTTCTTGAGATTGGGGACAGGAGAAGCGAAATCATCATCTAGGCCAAGCTGGGAGAGAATATGGGCGGTGGAATCGACTGTGGAAGCCATTGGAATAGGGAGAGCGAAGGAAAAGCAGAGATTTAATTTCTAGATGAAGAATGTGAGAGGAAGGAGGGGAGGAGGGAGTGAAGGCGATGTACGGGTGTGGCCAGTAGCATTCGGAGGTGAGGAGTAGAGAACTGTGCATATGTAACGAGAAGACGAGAACGGAAACATCGGTTCCCATGCGGATCTGAAAACAAAAGGCACAGGGTAGCGATCTCTGCTTAAAGTGGGCCCCCCAGGCCACGAGCATTTCACCAAACGTTTGACGGTTTAACCCGCCCTTTTTTCTTTTTCTTTCTTTTTTAAAATTATTTTTATACCAAAAAATGTTTCCTCATTTTTATGTATTAATACATTATCTAATATCTAGATACCCGTTATATAATACTAGCTTCAGTTTTTAACATAAGAATTAATTTAACTTTTAAATATAAAATCCCAATCTATTTTGTCTCTTATATTTATTTATTTTTTAATATAATTTTTATAATAGCTGCATGTTTTAAAAATCTTGTCACATAGTAGTTCTAGTTAATATATATAATTAATAAGAATAATTTAAAAAAATAATACTTATTTATTACAAATAACTAACTTAACTAATTTTTTAATATATTCAAATTAGTCAACTAACTCTTATATTAAAAATCGGAAATAATATGTCAATTCACATTTTCAAAATAAAACTTTGAATTATCCATTATGTGACACTTTGTAATCTCTGAAAAAATGCTAATACGATCATCGGGAATAGAAATGAGGATTGTCATTCATTATAATTACGCTGATTTGGTTTTTAACATGAATCAGTTTTGGTTAAAAAAAAAGAAAAAGAAAGAAAAAAAGAATGATTCGTATAATTTCAAGGATGAATTTGAGAGAGATTTAATCCCATAACGACAAAGAAATGTGCCATAAAAAAAAAAAAGGTTGAAATCACTTACTTTTATTGGACCTCATATGAACAATTTATATACAAACTCGTTCATCCGTCGCCATTGGGACAAGATTACATTGAAACTTACATACACTTCAAGTAGAATCGAACGAACATTAGGGGGGGAAAAAAGGACCAAACCCATGAAGTCATAGGCCTAACTTACAGACTATTCAAGGGAAGGAGGAGGACACCTGCAAACAACCTCTCGTCCTAAGCCCATCCTCTTGAAAGGCACAAAAAAGAAAAAGTGTCAAAGCTTATGCAAGAGGCAATAGAAAGAAAATTTAGGTATATGATTGAATTAGACAAAGAAAGAATTCAAGCAAGCACTTTGGTTTTATCAGTCAAAGCTGGATGAGCGGCTCCATCGCCCTCTCAAGTAGTCCTCCAATGACACATTCTGCTCAACACTGCTCATGGACATTGAGTCATCCTCCACGTCAAGCAGTGCAACATTAAGATGTGACTGTAGATTTGAAGGCGGGCACGCCTCATCGTCAAGCATTCCCGGTTTCTGGAAGCGTTAGCTTCTAACCTTGCCCACTTGATCACGTCAACATCCCCTTCAAGCAGCTTTGAAATCTGAGGTCCAAACGAAAACATAAGAAATTCAAGAATGCGGAAGAAGTAAACACTTGATCAAGTTCAATTTATTACTACGAATTCAAGTATGACTTGCTTACAAGGCTCATAGGAGGCCTAGCTCTTGGATCACGCCTTATACAAAGTTTGGCTGCCAACACCATCCTCTCTATCTGTTCATGATCATAGTTATCGCTCAAACTTGGATCTAACAATTGTGACACCTTTCCATTGTTAAGAATTGGACCTGCCTGTAAAAGAGATTCTCATTGTTTATCCCACAGTACATGTGATTACAAGATAAGGGGTTTGATGGATGGGGAGGACAGAGCACAGGATTATGGGGACATACCCACATAACGAGGCTCTCTTGACCTTTAGGGTAATCTCCACCTATGGGTTTTCTTCCAGAAAGAAGTTCCAGGAGTACGACACCGAATGCGTAGACATCAATCTTGGCATTGACTTTGCCATACATGAAGTACTCTGGAGCTAAGTAACTGCATAAATGTGTGAGCTTTATAATTTAGGACCAACCCCTTCCTAGTTTCTCTGATCAAATTGGATATTTATGCCCGATGGACAGAAGTGGATGGTTTGGATATGGAGGAGTTAAAAGTACAAACCCGAAAGTTCCAGCAACGACTGTGCAGGTTATTTGTGAAGATGAGGTGGATGCCCATTTAGCAAGACCAAAATCAGAGAGCTGGGCAAATTCAAGCAAAATAGGGTAAGGATCGATAAGCGGATTAGTATAGAAAGCAACTCAACAGTGAGATTTAGCTATTGGCCGAAAAGGCAAAGGCTAAGTTACCTGGGGCTCAAAGTCCTCGGATAATAGTACATTTGATGACTTCACATCCCTGTGGATCACAGACTGAGCACCGTTGTTATGCAGATAATCCAGAGCCTCAGCAACACCCATTGCCACCTTATATCTCTCAGTCCAGCCAAAAACAAGTGGATTTTTCTTATTACCTGATTAAGTATGACACGTGATGAAAATAGGAAGTTACTAAGACCATAGTTAATCAAGTTAACAGCTATAGCTGATATATGACGTGCTTTGTCTTACCATAGAGATTGTCTTCAAGGCTTCCTCTAGACAAAAAATCATAGACCAAAAGAAGATTGCCATCCTCAAAGCAGAAACCCAGGAGGGAAATTATGTTTTTATGGTGCAAGGTAGTGATGATTTCTATTTCCAATAGAAACTCTCTCAAAACATCATCAGAAGGCTTTAAAATCTTAACGGCAAGCTCCTTGCCATCAGGAAGGCGACCTCTATAAACCTGACTACTTCCTCCTTTCCCAATCAAATTTTCTGATATCATACAGTTGATTCGAGTTAAAAATGAATTACTTTTGGACAAAATGAACTTCACAGAAAATTATTATTGCAAAACAAACCTCGGGAGAAACTTGAAGTTGCCAGTACAAGTTCTTGGTACTGAAACAATCTGCACGAGGATGAGTATTTGCCGTGAAGATCCTCCAATTCTTTAGGAATGTTTTTTGAATTGCCGTCTGGTGAAGAAGAATCAGTCCTTATTACAACATCAACTGGAACAATAGCGCCGCTTCTACCGTCTAAAGCTATAGTTTGTTTATGATCATGATCTGCCGTGTCATAAGAAAGATTTCTACAAGGCAACTGCATTGCCCACTGGACCACAGATATCTGGCGCATCGATGATGGATCATGGGACTCCCTATCTGATAAAACTGTCCGTTGTAACAGTGGCCAACCAGGTTTCAGCTCAGGTACTTCTCTGTCAGACAAGGTGGTTGCTGTACTCGATGCTGCCTCAGTTATGTGTACAGGCACTATAGCCAGAGCATTTTCATTAGTATCACCATCACCTGAAAGCTTCTCTGCAGAATGATGGCAGGAAATGTTTGGCAGTGCTGAAATTGAGCCACATATTGAGCAGCTTGGTTTCTGAATCACAGGCTCTTTAGACCCCAGAAAGACTTTATCGTGCTTATTTTCTGCATTTTCGTCAGTGAGTACTTTAGAACTCTTATTGAATGTCCGGTGAATAGTTTCAAGCAAGCCAATTTTGCTCTGACGATCAATTCCTGCAACAGATTGATGCTTGAGTTTATATTATATCCGCGAGACTAACAAACGCATTACAGCACTCTTCAGAAGAATTTAAACCTTTTAAGTGAGAAGGACTTGCTGGGGAGCCATCTCTCTTGAACACAACTTTCCCATTATTTACAGCCAGAACACAGCAGTTCCTGGATAACTTTCTGGCACAGTACTTAGCTACGGAGGTAGATGGCCGAATTGTATGGAGGGTGTGTGCTGTTCCTACTATAAGATGAGTTGCAGAATAAGCATTTGCTTCTCGGACTAAAATTTTCCGCACTGATGCACCTCTGCAAACTTTGAGCTTGAGATCCACCTGAACCACTTAAACAAAAATCTCATAAGAAATTATTTAGTTTTAGCTCTCGTTTCTCATAGGAACAGAAAAAGAAACAGAGAGGTGAACCTGTTTTAAATTGCAGAAACCTTCATAGACAGCAAGAACAGAGTCGAATGCGTTGACAAGCGAAAGAAGGGACAATTTCCCATCTCGATTGACTATTTCTACATGTACCCATTTCATCAAAACCAGTTAACCTCCGCTCTAATCCACATCCACAGATGAAAATTAGAGAGTAAAAACTGAAACACAAAATCCTCACTTACGATTGTTGTCAAGGACATTAAGAGCAACCACAACATCACCAGGCTGAGCGACTTTGACCAAAGCCCAAGTGAGCAGCTCCTTGCTGGCCGAGTCCAACTTCATTCCAACCACCACCGTCCGACCACCGGAGCTTCCGCCGTCGGCTTCTCCGGCCTCTCCCATTTGCAGTATTTTCAGGTTGAGGGTCAAAATCAGAGGAGGTGGTGTTTTCCTTATGGGTGACAACTGTAACTAAAAATGAGGTTCATATAGTTAGAGACAGGGAAGGAGATATGGCGTCAACCGTCGTTTGGTCTGCTTTTCACTGTGACACGCCAGACCAGAGCACCGGACTAGAGAGAGAGAGGCTGTATCTGTAAGTTTAACGTACAAATCGAACTAGTACTGAACACGCTGATTATAATTCAGTTTACTTTGATGAAGTCATTTTAACTTTCGCACCATCATTGCCATCCGGCTTTTCGAGCAAGATTCTAGCAAAGTTTATACCTTTAAAAGCCCAAGATTTTGACCACCCGTTCCCACCGGGAAAGACGTTGGACCTAAATCTCTCTCTCCCTCTCTCTCTATCTCTCTCTCATATTTTCTTAACGGAACAAAAATATGAAACTAACATGTATTGATGACAAAATTAACATGTACTGATTTAAGTTTGAGATAAAGACAGCGCCGTAGATGATGACATGGGTGGGATGCATGCAATTTCGGACCAATATGTTACATCATCCATATTTCATTAACAAGATGCCAAATTGAAGTTGTTTCGCTATCAAAGTTGATGGAATAGCCATAATACACGCATTGAACAACAGGGCTTGCAATAAAGTAATAATAAGCATACAATGGACCAAAAAAAAAGAAGACATTTCTTGGTAAAGTGAGCTAACTATATTGTATTAGCGTTAAATTGTGTGTAACTGTGTATGCTTTTTGATGAAGATAACGTAAGGTGTCGTGTGCAGTATGATATTTTGAGGAAGCTAAAAGAACAGAAACCACGAAGTGAGTGATGATGCATTGATGTGGTCGGTGGAGATGAGAGGTGATGCAAGAAGCTTTAGAGGGTTATACGACCTGTGAAGGAGGGAGCGCCTGGTTACCTACCTGCCACCTTAACCCCTCCTCGCTCCTCCTCACGCGAATCCCGATCACATCCCTCCCACGTGGCCTTTTTTTCAATTTATTTATTTTTATCTTTTTTATATTTGCCCCACCTATGCCAGCCAACTACTCACAGTCCCACACGTGCACCACTAATTCCTTCTTTTTTAAAAAAAAAATCAGTCTTTTCATTTCCTTTTATGAAACATCAAAACAAAATGTAAAACATGACCGCAGAATGTGGACAAATCATTGAAGCCTCCAAATGTGACGCTGGCGAGCCTCAATTCTGAGTCCGATCCCACCCCCAAAAGCAGCCATTCTTCGTGCATCGCCCTGTTCTTGATTTTCCGAATTGAATCTTACACAGTCAAATGAAAGCTTCGTTTTCCTGACTATGAGGCCAGGTCTGATACAAGGGGATCAAAATCTGTTTGCAAGACACATAATATCGAACAAATCGATGTACTGGTTGTCATTTATGATGGGCTTTAGTCAATCGTATTTGACATGGTCTCTCTCTCTCTCTACATATATATACATATATATATATGAATATACGATTTTGTTTTTCCGTAGTGTAAGACTATACCCCGCCTGACTAGATATTTCACTTTAGTTTTAGCTTTACAGGGTTCATTTTCAGTGGTAATGGTGTTGGTCATACATGCTTATCTCATCATGTTAATTAGGTGGTGCCCCAGATCACCCATTCATTAGCTCTCACCCTTTTCATTTCTTTGAAAAAGAACTCATCTCACAAAAACCTAACATCCTTCTTTTTTTCCTTCCCTTGTGTTACCCATTCCGTTTTTAGATCTGTGTGATTCCCGATCATGCTTTACTTTCCATAAGACCCCTTTCTTGTTTCACACGTTGTGTGTTCTTTTGGGGAAAAAAATTAGATTGATCCCTTCGATTAAGAAAAGAAGAAAATTGACTAGAAGAGAGAAAAACTAGGGGCAAAGGAAATCCTGATCGATGCTTCACATTTCAGGTGGTAAGGCTTCATTTATAAATCAAGCCTGCACAAAAGTTTGAAGTTTTTTCTCAGCATGTATACATGATCGAATATCGAGGCATAGCTAGCTCTCCCAACTCCTACATCACAACACGATATTACTTCATATTTTTCAAGTAAGGTATATAGATCAAATAAAAACTCAACTACGTTTTAGCTCACACTAAGGAAGCAAGATTAGCTCAGAAATAGGCAGTTGCGTCAAATTGCAATGATACTTTGGGCAGTTTCTTGATTCAGTTTGTAGCCATTCATTAAATATGAAATAATGGCTATAAAGATGAGGTTTGGAAGACTGTAACGACGGCTTCACCAGAAGGTAAATGGTGTGCCAGCACCAACAGCAATGGTAGACCAAATTATTCTCAATTTTTCCAATAAAAGGAGCGGTTTTTGAATGACAGTGAAACGTTGCTTGTCAGTTGTTGGACTGATCCGGGCTAATCATATCCATTCTGATCAGAACCAATTTCCTTGACAAAATTCATAGTGCTATTCTATTTTGGTTATAAATAAGTTATTTCTTAGCACTTTGGGTGAGAAAAGGACAGGTTTTTATAAATGAGGGGGGTGGGGGGTTGGAGGAGAAGCAAAGAAAGTGTAATGCAACCGAAAGAAGAGTGTCATGTCGCCTGTGAAGGAAATTAAAATTCGATCCAGGAGCAATAAATTTCACAAATCTAAATTATTAGGTGATTGTACGTTTAACAACTTCAAAACTTGGAAGAAATTCTCATGTGCCCAGGCCCTGCTTTTCTCAGTTTCATTGTGGTCCTTCCAAAACCAAAACATACTAATACCATAGCGGTCAAAAAGCATTCCTGATTAGCAGATATATGAAAGGAATACGTTGGATAATTGAAGGCGAGATTCTCGAAAGCTTATTCAGTAGCTTTTGAGTGGATTTGAATTAATTTGTGATACGTATGAGCAAAAGCTGGAAAAGAGCCTAATATTATAGGGAGAGAAAGCGTTAGGGGGGAAAAAGAAAAAAAGAGAGAGAAAAGCCGGATCCATACAGAATGCCATCAAACCAGGAAGTGGGCACAGCTGTCTTGAAAAGGGGAAAGTGAACGGGCATTTATTGATTTAAGGAGAATCAAGTTCAAATATGGAAACCCATCCTGCACCAAACAAAAACACAATTTAGTCCTTAAAAAAATGAATTTGAAGGCAGCTTGAAGATTGAAATGGAAGTTTGGATTTTGGAGTCCCGAACAGTGAGTGCGGCACATTTGTGATTTTTAGAACGTTCCATCCCTCTCAACCCATCCATTCCTTCCCCTTACAGCATTGCCCCAAAAATACTGCCAACTTTAAAAGACATGAAACGATTTGGAGAGCATATAGCTTCTGACCATCAAATTGCACCTTGAAACAATCAAGCCCTTCCTCCTCAAGCTTTTGCCTCTTTTGTATTCCAAAAGAAAAATATTAGGGAAGCGTAGGTATGTCATTAATATTAACACAAAAATGTAATAAGAATCCTAATTACTGTACTTTTACTGTGTTTTGATAATTGTACTTTTATTTTCATTTAAAAAAAAATCGACACCCATAAAACTGGCGGTGTAGGTTGGCTAGTTAGCTTCAATTTCAATGCAAGTATGAAGACGGAATGCCCCTCAATCTCAATTTCTCAGTTATGCAAGTATGAAGGCCTAGCCCGCCCTCACACCAAAAATAAAACGAAACAATTATATGTAGTTGCACCGCAACCTGAATCCACATGTTAATAGAAAGGTTGGATATTTGACATTTACAAGTGTATGTTTGTCTCCTTTACGCATTACAGTCAAATGATATCCATTTTGTCAAGAATGCCTACCTCTTTCACGATCCCCTGAAATAAGATGATGGTAGAATGGGCGGATAGAAGTGTTTCAAAAATCTTTTATATTTTTTTCTTTAAATAAATCTGTCAAACTAAAGTGGTTAAACTATACACTTTATCACTTCAGAACAGAAAATCCCATCCCTCCCTCTCAGGTGTCACAACAACATGATGTCAGATGGCATTCAATTCCCTGGCGAATCACATCGAGCTTGAACAGTGATGGAAAACAATTGCTGGAATTGAATGAGTTTTTCATTGGATCTATACCTATATTCAGGAACAGAAGGATTAACTAATGTGTGAAAAGAAGGGTAGGGGGTCCCTGTGATTAATGTTGGATCAGCTGCTGTAAATGCTATCAATTGTTGTTGTCATCTCCCTCTACAAATTGCATCCTCTGGTACATCTACTACACCTATATTGCCCATACCACCCCCAGAGTTGCTCTCATTATAACTCCAGAATTTCCTCCTGGACCACGGTCGAGGTATTTTTGATTTATTCCATTTTTGTTGCCTGAAGTAACTCTTGCCCAACTCATTAGGAGAGCCCTTCAATGGTTCAGAAATGTGGTTATTATCCTCATATGAAAGGTCTTTAGCATCAAGACCAGTTGTGCTGGGAGCCATATCATCCGAGTAACAATTAACTAGACCACTAGAATCTCGCTTCACAATTTTTGCAGGCTGATCTATTTTCATAGCATCAGTAGACTTAGAAGATTGAGAGTCATTCTGGGGTTGATATTGGGGCGGTGGAGGAAACGGATAGAAAGGCATGCCTGGTGCAGTGACCCATTTGCCTTCATCTTCCACGTGAGGTGTTCCATAATGTTGGATAACAGGCCATGGAACTCCATATGAGACAGGCAAGCGATAATTAAATTTTTTCCTCGGATAACCTATAACCGCATCAGAGGGATGTCTAGAACCAGAATGGCCCGGATGTTGCAAAGCAAGAACACCAGAGTTCTGTGAGGCATTTGAAGAACCCAAGGGCTGGAATAAACAGGAAAACCCAGGCGGAGCATCTTCAGAAATATTCTGTCCACTATCAAAAGCATTAATAACAACATCAGCTTGCTTTGACTGCTTAGAGACAACATTTCCTTCCTTGCTCTCAGAAGACACTACAACTGAATTGGTCGCCGCTAGTTGATCCCATCGACTTTTACGTTTACGTCTCATTCGCCCACTGGTTTCACACCCATTCAGAGATGGTGCAGAGCAGCCCCTCTGGGCAACAACATTGACTGAACTTGTTTCAACCAAAGGCAGCTGGGCACAATCTATTCCTTTAGTAGGTCTCAAACTCTGGTCACATGCATGGTTCAGCAATGCTGAATATCGGTTGCGTTTGAAATTCCTATAAGATTTCACCCCACAGTCATCCCTGTTTACAAAGCGACGTTTTCTGAAAGATCTAGGAATCCATCTGTCTCGAAAGCTCCGAGCAATTTGGTGGACCTAAATGAGCAAATGAGAAAATGAATACAATGAAAGATATTCTCACCCACAAAAGAAATACACCACTGGGGTCATCAAAAAGAAAGAAAAGAAAGACGATCCAAGCAGCATGTTTTGTTAATTGGTGATATACGCTTGACCTGACTAAAGCTGTAATTAATGCAAAAGGTGGGCAACAAGTAGTTAGTATGTAACGCACCTCTTTGTCTTCATGTTCCGTTAAGGACAGCATTGACTCCCTAAAGCTGCAAATAAAAACCAACAATCAGGGAAAGGGGAGAGGTTTAGCCCTAGTAACACAATTTCATACAGTCCAATGGCAGAGAAAAATGCAAATAATTTGCGGGGAGGGTATCTGATGAGTTCTTTCTATATTGATCATAAACTACGGTCATCAGCCAGAGTGCAAGTCTTCACAGAGGCTACAATTCTGAAAAGGGAATGCAAATCAACACAAAATGCATAAATGATACTCAGCTCCTAGGCATTCAAGATGCTAAGCTTTTCCCAACACGGAAAGCATTCGAGTGACCCCATGATTGGGCCCCAACTCCCTATGTTCCTCATTCAACATCACCCTTGTCTCTCTCCTCTAACAACCAAGCGAGAACAGTGTTGTTAGTTTCCTTCAATTAACTCTTCGGTTGCTACTGGCCCCTCTGGGCCTATGTTACCCTCCTCCTTCATCCTCCTCTTATAAATTAACAATAGTAAAGGCCTACCCTTTGCTTTATTACCCCTTCTCACATAAATTAACAACGAAGGCCTATTCCCATCATAATGGTGGATCATAATTTGTAGAAGACATTAATGAAATCCACTCTCAAATTTAAAAGATTCCACGACTCTAGATTTCAAAGATTTGAGATTATCAAAGAAAGTCCAGTATAATTCTCCAAACACTGATTTTCATAATAACGAGTTAAATAAAGTTGGAGGGAAACTAAAAAAATCACAGCTGAAATTTTCTAACCTCTCCATTCCACGACAAGGGGGACTGCCATTAATGTGCTCAAATGTCAAAATCTTTCTTTCTGCCAGGCGCTCTAAGACCTGTGAAAGGTGCATTTGATAAATTGTAGACTCACCTCCCTTAAAGAAGGACGATTGAAAAATTAATATAAAACAAAAAAGTGTAGAGAGCTGTACAATACACAAGTCATGAATAATATTAGCTCATTTTGGATTTTATGCAGATGCATGGGATCCACTATAGTTAATACACTAAACACCAGCTGTTAACATAAAGGAGACTATGCCATTGTGACATACTCAAACATCAGATAACACCTCCCCTATATATATATATATATATATATATATATATATTGACACTTAACAATAGGAGTAAGCTTTATCCCATTAGGTGGGGTTATAAATTGAGAAACTTGACCAACACCTCAGAGGGGAAGAAATTACATTAATCATGTAAATCCCAATAAAATCAGGCAAATATCAAAAGGCTTTTTTACTAGGGTTTTCTTCTAGCCACTCTGTTAACGGAGCCATGAAATTTCAAATCTTCCGATAAAGGACTGCTCAATTGTGGCTCTACAGTCTACAATGTCAAATTAGCAGCCTTAATTGAACTTGAATGTCAAGGATATGTAGTTGGTTCAAAGTAATGGATTTGAAAACGCATAACCACTTAAGTGAAATGCAGATAACAAGCAACTCAATTTAGTTATTTCCCATTTGCAAACCTTAAGAAGCTTTCGCAGAATTGGAATTTTTTTAAAGTCCTGCCTGTATCGCTTCATTATGTTGTGTAGCATGCGTAAACCTGAAAGGAAAATCAATAGTCATGACTTGACATTAACAAAAGCATGACAAGTTTGGGCTCCAGATAAAAATCAATAGAAATTGACATGTGGCAAGTATGCATGACCATTTTGTTGGCAAAAATAAAAAAAATCTGCATTACCATTTTTCTTAATTATATCATTCAGCACAGTTCTTGATCTTGTTTCCAAAAGGGCACCAAGAATCAAAGAAAGGTCTCGGTTGCTGCAGCTGCAACCAAAGTTTCAATTCTTTTATAGAGCATTTTACAAGTCTAATAAAGCACAAGATTACAAAGACATGCAAATTATTGGGAGGGGGCAAGGAAAAGAAGAAAGCACCTTTGAATGGCTTCAACATTACTCCTATCACCTGATGCCACAGTAAGAAGCAGAAGCTTCAAGTAGCCTTTGGTAGCATCCTGTTATAGCAAAATTCATGGCGAAAAACAATTACAAAACAGCCTTACTAGTATACCCAAGACTACCTCCACATAAAGGGTTCATTATAAGCATGGAACAAAATCATCAAGAGCAAAGAAAAGGGAGCCACATCAGAACCAGTTCACACCAGCAGTACAATCTAAAACAAAAGTTTCTTCATAGCATCAAAATTATCCCATTACAGACAAAAGTCTCAACCAAAATGCATCTCATACATAACTCTGTAGCCTATATTTTAGGACTGAAAAAACATTTACACTAAAAGGTCAAGAATAAAACATCACAAAAGAGGCTGAAATTTCTTGCTTCCTAACTTGACTAAACCAATCTCAGTGGTAGAAAAGAACACTAAAACATGCATAATGTACAAACTTCCAGATAGATCTAACTAATTTGAAATACCATGTCAATCAGCAACCAACTTAAGCTTACTTACTTTACTTTTGCTAATTCCTCCTTCTGGATCTAGCAACTCCTTAAGCTTCTCCTCAACTGCAGGTTTGGCGAAAGAGTAATTAGACAAGTTCCTTATGTAATAAAATTTCACCAAATTAAGGCATCTGACAAACCTGCTTCAAAATGGCCATTGGAAGAACCTTCCACTGCTTTTTTATGTCTGATGGATGGAACCTGCGATCTGTTGGTTGTCACTCCAACTTTGAGGTTATTTGTAGGGTTAGCACACCCCCTTCCCTTTTTAACAGAACCATTTATTTGAGAAGCCTTCCCAAGCAGATGAGGTTCTGAAAGACCAAATCTATCTTCAATTACTCCATACTTGGATTTGCTAACAGATGAAGAGGAAGAAGTCTCAATATTCTGAATCAAAGTTTTGCCAAAATGCTCAGATTCTACTGCATATCCTTGTTGTAAGGTAGGAGTAGGTTTGCTTATTACATCCTCCGTTTGCTGGGGAAGTACTTTCATTTGAATGGAAGATGATAAATTGCCCTTAGAATTTTCCACTATTATTGAGCTGTGCAGGTGAGATCTAGCAGAGGGAGGGTTTAGAGAACTCTCCTTCTCCAGGTGAATGGAAGATGAATAATTGCCCTTAGAATTTTCCACTATTATTGAGCAGTGCAGCTGAGATCTAGCACAGGGAGGGTTTAGAGAACTCTCCTTCTCCAGGTGACCACCGGGCCCTGCAGCCATAGTTGAGTTGTCAGATAAATTCCTATCTTTCAACATACGCCTAGCACTCATTACATATCAACATTATCACAATGATTGGATATTAAGCCTACCGTCTTCAATATCACCACCTTCAGTAAGCATGACAGGTTCCGGAAATTCTTCATCTGAATCATCTTGAACAATGATTTCAGCACTGAGTGGATCACCACCTATATAACCTTGACAATGAGGTGAGCCACAAAAACATTTTTTTGCAGCAGCACCAAAAACCCTGACATAGTTGTAGTCAAATGTCACTTCTTCATCCTGGGGAAAGTAGAAAGAAAGGTTCAACTCAGCCAAGCATAGCACCAAAAAATTGCATAGTGACTTTTCCATAACCCAACCTCATAATGCAAGGAAATAAAGATAACATGAATGTTCCTCTACCCCCCCCCCCCCAAAAAAAAACTCCTAAAAAGAAAGAAAAAAATATTGGCACCCATTCCTAATTTCATGTCACGGCTAAAATACTTCAAGTTTCCCTCTATCCTGAAAATATATGCAAATTTAGTTTTCAATATGTGGAATTGCTACCTCAATTTAAACATACATGTGCACCACCCTTGTATTTTAAGAACACGATGCAACTTAATATAGTTTATAGTTAATGTTAACGACACTATAAAATCACATGTTAAATATCAACTGTGAACAAGGATATTCTAAATAATATTCCTAGTAAAGTTAAGATTTTAGATACCATGTTCTCAAAATAGAGAGGTGGTCTATATATTTAGTGCTTAATTCCGGGGAGGCCAAAAAATTTTACCCTACTACTAATATGAATTCACATGAACCCCTTTCATCAACTCAAATGTTCAATCAGGAATCTGGATCTGCAAAATGTTCAATCAAATTGTGAACAAATGCATGAATAATGATGATCAGGCTTCAAGGATACCTGCTTAATATCCCTCAATGCAAACAATCCAATACAGATTTCTCCATTCACCATCCACTGTTGCAAAAGGGGAGAAAAAACGGAAGGTCAAGTGGTTAACAAGAAAAAGAAAGAAAAATGACACGTAAATGCTTTTGGATTTTCAGATCCAGAAGCTAGTACATAGAAAACAACATAAAGTGGGAAAGGTGCACTGCCCTATTGCATTTAAATTAACATTATCATAAAGCATCACAATAGATCAAACCAACATGCTCAATAGTTATCAATCATGCACACAAAAAAAACTCATACACACACATAGACAAAAAGTTGCTCCATTTCAAATGATAAAAAAAGAAAATTTACTTATGGGCAGCTGCCAGTGAAAACAATACATAAAAGTGCAGCTAGTGTGTTCACCTTTTCTGTTCGACAATTAGGATCACAACTATGATTAATGAAACGCCCCAAATTTCCTTTTGCACTCGCATCAATCACCTAAAAATATAGAAATGTAAATAAAAAGAAGTGAAAAAACTCACAGCATAGCTAAAAAATCATATTTATGAAAACCAACAAATATATGTTCCTAGCCATTGAAACTACTCAGCAACAGTAAAAGCAAGAAGAGTCATTCCATTGAAATTGAAGCAAGCACACATGGGTTAAATTCATACCTCACTGCCATTCAAGGTCATGAAGTAGAAATGCTTATGACCCTTTAAAGCATATTCTCTTTGTCGTGCCTCATAGGCATGCATATCAAGCACCTGTTTAAACCAAAAATCAGATATCTAGCCAAAGGTCAACTATGCAGACACCAACACACATATGCATCAATATGCCTTAATAGAACAGGGTCAATGCTCACTATGTAAGCAAAGATATAATCCATTTAAAATAATTTCAACCCACGTAGATTACCCTTTAAAGTCTCAGCTATCCCTAACAAGCAGCACAAATTCAACATTACATATTACCAACTTTTCAGTTCTAGTCTTACAGCATAGGATAATGGTTGAATTTTTCTAAGTGGGTTAACTTATCCTTGCTACCCACCACAGTTATGATTAAATCTGAATTTGAAGTTTCATAAAAAGAAGAATCAAGCAGTGACTGAGCTCTCAATAGGCATTGAAGCCCACTTAGTTGAAGGACTGGATCATAAATTGACACAATATACTTCGGTTCTTAGCAAAAGTTTAAAACTTGAATCACTCTTCAAATCCATATCAAGAACAGCTCCAATTGCACAAAAGCACATAGAACAAACTTTCTCCATGATCTCATTAGAGCATACGACACTGGTTAACTCAAAATAAGTTAGCATACTTTGCAGCAATTGCTAATAAAATGAATTGATTCACATAATCAATATTTGAGGGTAAATAAAAGGCAAAAGATGGAGGATCTACAACCAATCCTTATAGACTGCATCCCTAATATTGTTCCTTGATAAATTATAATTCAGCACCAAAAATCGATATCCTATATAATGCAGTCAAGTAAATTGATGAATTAAGTAGATAGCAAGGACAAAAAAAAATTATCATTTAAGTTACCTCGCCAACATATTCAATAAGGAATTGCCCTTCAGATATTCCCTCAATCACCTTCAGCCCATAGCCTTTTTTCCCACATTTAAACCACTTCAGTTTGGCATAATTGCGTGTCTGGAACTGAAACCAAGCATTTGAACTACAATGATGCACTTTGCACAGAAAGGTCAACAGCACTATCTCTTCAGAGGATAGATAGCTCACATACCTGCTGATTCGAACAGAGATCCCCACATGGGCAGGCCCCTTTAACACATTCAATGTTAAGCATCCGGTTTAGACAATCATCTCCACATCCCAACTGACCTTTTGGAGGTGGTTTGCAATGGCAAACCATTATCTGATAAAAATTCATAGGTACAATGAATAAGCATAGTAAACTAACAGGCAAATTGGAAGATCATAGAGCTTGGAAACCTAAGCACCATCCAGTCATACTTAAATATACATCCAGCAGTGACTAATATAAGAACAAAGGAAGAAAAGCATATGCCATGATCATACTGATAGCGATGAAGCATATGATTCCCCCATCCTTCCCCTGAAAATTTATAGACAACCAGATATTGGGCCTTGTATGTTGACCAAGAAATAAGAGGTACTATTTATGACTTGTGAATGGCATGACTTGTCACAGACTTTACATTTTATGTTGATGTCAGTAATTCATCCCATCCTCTGCAGGTTACACCCTTAGCTATATAGGCAGAAATAGTTAAAAGTTGTATTTAGGCACATCAATTTCATCTTAGCCCAATCTGATCTAAATAGACATCAAATTTCCTATTTCATATGAGCTTTTTCATGAAAATTTAACACAACAAATTAAAGGAGGACAAAAACTCCCCTTAAAATAAAACAGAAAGCAAAGATACGAGAAAACAAATGATAAAACCCCGAGTCAAGTGAGATGAGAGGGGGGTGGGGGGAAGCATTGCTTTAAAAATCTGGCAGTCTGCTCTAGCCAAATACGCAACTTCTGAGTTGAACTATGTTTAAGAAGATAGTAAAGCCTCTAAAACCAAGTGGTGATCTACGTCACTACCATTCTCCATGAATGAAATTTCAAGTAAGAGAGCATGTCAGAGATCAAAATAAAATTTATCAAAGAGATTATAATAATATTTCTTCTTCAGCCCATAATGAGAACATAATTGAGCCAAGTTGCTGTTATGAGCCAATAGACTGATATGACTTTGCACATTAAATTTACAATTGCTAGTTCAATATAACTGACCTTTAGCATTAATATATATTTAACGAACCAAGACAAAACATAGGCAAACAATAAAATGTCAAAATCATAAGTTAAAAGTAAGGATTAGAACAACTTGGACCTCATCTACAGTCTGAGTTTTGGGGCTACGATGCAGAAACTCATTGGCAGAAATATGAGTAAAAGTTGACCCCTGAGAAACTGCAGTGCATAGAAACAACGGACAATAAGGAAAACTAGAGGAAAAGGTAACAATGACATTCCCAAAACAGTCTAGCTTCAAGGTTAAATCACTGATCCTCTATCTAGCTAATATTACATACACATTGGACGTTGATGTTCTAGCTTCTTATAGTTTTTGCAATCTTCACTGTTATCTTCTTCACCGGATGCATCTGATAATCCTAGCTCTGCATTGATCTCTGCGTTTGACTTTTCCTGTGCGATAGAGCAATCAGCATAAGCTTTATCATTGCTGTCCTTACATGTCCTTCAAAAGAAAATTACACATGACAAGATACAAGTTACTGAAAGAAATTAGAGGGGGAAATTTGAATAAGGAAGTTTGTCTCATGTACAGCTTTATTTGTTTAAAGATTTACGAAAAAGGAAACTAACTGCAAATATGTACATAAATATAAATTCTAATGGAAAGCATTGAAATAAGAATCTCAGAGAAAATAACTGAAGGAGCATGATCAGTGAAGTAAAAGCTAGTGACAACTGTGAGAAAACTATCTCTCTGCTAAGACAACTTGAATATATAGCTACTTTCAGAAACTACATATCAACATATCACAGGGAAATGATAAATTTTCCACGTTAAAATGCCATACCAGGCACAGTTTGTTTCTTCAATTAGATCTGCACGTGAAACAGTAATACGCCGCCACTTGTGGCAATCATCACAATGCACCCATGCATTTCGTGGTGATAGATGTTGCTCCCTCAAACCAACACCAGGTGCCATGTCCAGGGCATATACACCGGCTGGTACTTTGTTCTCATCAGCATTAATTTTTCCACCGAAATCCAACGTCCTTTTTTCTTCAATGTCATTTTCTGTGAACAAGAAAAGAACCCTATTTGTATTTGAATGCTCAAATAAAATAAACAACACAAAAGATCAAAAAGTGGTTAAATGTAAGTAAAATTTAACAAAAAGAAGGGTACGGTCACAAAAAAAAAAGTGATAAAAATTCAAAAATAGATATAATAGCATCAATATGCAAGTTATTTCTTAAAAAATAGTGTTACCTCCACGTAGGTAATCTTCTGTTTTACATATAACTTTATCAGAGACCCTTTTTCCTTTAGCACCGCGATTGGTGACAGATCTCCCCAGCTTCTCCCCATGTCTAAAAGCAGTCTTTTTCCTGCTCTTTGACTCATAAGCTTCAGACTTGGTCCTGATGACATGCTTAGATTTAAGACTTTTGGGAAGTTTAGAAAACAAATGTCTCTCAGAAGGTAGAAATTTATTAGAACCAGAGGAGTCCAAATATTCATTGTTAACATCTAGGCTGCAATGTGTCTTAACCTCCACACTACTTTTTACTTCCAAAGCATCAGTTGGATCTCTAGATCCAATATCTCCATAGAGGTGCAATGGTTCTGAATGAATTTCATCACAGCCTACAGAACTGCTTGTGCTTAATGTATTTATATAAGTGGAACTTGGCAAATCCCCAGAGCTAACCATATCAGTGCAGTTCTTCTTACCTCCAAGATTTTTTGAGTAATTTGCTTTATTTTTTCTTGGGGAACCTGGTGACACATCTCTTGCTCTATTATTACGTGAACAAGTAAGTTTATCTTTCTTCTTCCTTCTCGTGCTAGCAGTATCAAGAACAGCAAAATTAAACTCCTTAGAAGAACCAAAATCATTATTATTCAGATCTTCTTGATGCCTTTCTCCCACCTGGACTTCAGGAATTGAATCGATCACTTCTGAATCAGGTGAAGCTCCAGTTCCAGGATCCATACCCTTAATATTGACAGGCTCTATCAATGCATCAACCAACTTATTTGAAGGAGCCACCAGACAAGGCTCCTCTGCATTGCCATCTGACTTCCCCATCAGTGCAGCACCTTCTAAGTTGTTGGCAATTTGCCCATTCAAAACAACAACATACTTATAAACGTTATTTTTACCAGATTCAAACTTTCCCCCAGCCACCTCTTCAAATAATTTGTCTTTAGTATTGATAGCTAAATTTTGAGAATCTGAACCAGGTCCTGAGTTGGAAGCCGAAACCAAGCCATCAACAGATTCTGGAACCATAATGTTTGGGTAATATAAGTTAAACTCATTCCCCACTTTGATCTTCAGACGCATACCAGTGTTTGGAGCGCCAGATATTGAATTGAACGTGCAAGAATTTTCACTATTTTTATTTGTTTTTCCACTTTGACAGCCAACCCTAGCCTTCCCTGATCCTTCAAACATAACTTTATTTATGTTTAACTCTCTATCCATTTCAATAGCCTGTTTAATGTTCCCTAGCGATCCCCACTCAGAAGATCGAGCTGTTCTTGAGAAACAGCTTCTTTTCTTTCTAGTGGCCTTTGAGATTGTCTTCATACCCCACTCCTGTTGAGGCATATTGGCCTGGTTATGGCATTTTCTTGGAGCCCTTCCAGTCTGTCTCTTACAAAGAGATTTGTTTCGTTGACCATTCATTTGATGAGGCAATAACACAATGTCTTTACGTTTGCTTTTAGCAACACAATCAATCTTGAAAATTTGTTTTGCTTTATCGTCATTCCAGCCAGAATTGCACGCATTGTTATTATAACTGATAGCCCAGCTATTGTCCTTGAGAAGAAGATCAGGCACATCCTTTGAAGGGTTATCATTTAAAGAATCAAAGGAGGGCAGGCCTGATTCAGAAGAAAAGTTGCAATAGGTAGAAGTTTCTGGAAAATTATTCTTCAATTTAGAGGAATTTCCTTTTATTTGCAACATATTGTACTTCATTTCAAAATTTCTTTCATTTATCACATCAATATTTTGCTCCAGAACTTTTGTGACATCTTCATAAGAATCAATGTCACTCTTATCAGTCCCCTGTTCCAATTGTATAGCCTCACTCGGTGAATAAGCCAACAATGAACTCCCCAAGGTACTCTGGAAGTTTTGAGAGGACAATACTTTGACATATGTATCAATACTCTCTTTCTCAACAGTGTCTTTGGCCCCTTCTTCATAAGGACTGTTGTGATCACCGCCACCTTCCTGATCACTCAGCTTAAGCTTATCGTTAGTGCTCTTAGCTTGCAAAGATGTTTGGTTGCAAACAACCGCTTTCATCCCACATAAAGCATCTGTGTATAATGCATCAGAAGGCACCTCACTACCCTGTGCAGGAGATATCTGCTTGCAAGCTGCTACTTCCATCCCACATAAAGCATTGAAGTTATCTACAACCTCCAAGGAATCTGTATTTCTCAGAATGTCCTCCTGCTCACTGTTTTTGTGAAAATCGACTAGACATCCAGTTATAGGCTCTGAATCCAAGGAAAAATCAGAATAAATGAAATCAAATATATGATTGCCAGTATCGGTGAGTAAACCAGAATTATTGTTTTTTTCTCCCACAGCCACTAAAGTGTCCCCTACAGAAGAGATTATATTGCTCTCCATATCCTTTGTCAAACCCTTTACAGCTTTAAACTCTGATAAAAGTTGATAGTCATCATGATTGTGAGTTTTTTCTCCTGTGCAAAAGCTACCATTTTCTAGGTCGGAAACTTCATATTGCCCATAAAATGTCCTGCAAGAGTTCTGACAATCATTGTCCAAGGTTTTCTCCATTAGCAACATAGCATCTTCATATTCACTTGCGCTAGCATTGCTGGGCATGTCGGTAACATCAATACAGCTTGCAGAACCAGGTTCTTCATTTGTAGAGAAATATTTACAACCATTCAGAATATTGGAAAGCTCAAAGTTAGAGCCCAACACACAGCAGCCTACTTCTGAACCGGACTGCCCTGCGGGAACAGATTGCAACGGAAACTTCGAACAGTGCTGCCTGATGACAGACTCGCGCGTGGCATCATTTGCCATTACCATTCTCTCACACGAGCCCACGACAGTTTAAACAGTTCATTCAAATGTATCGGATTGCTGTTAACCCTTCGCTGCGTACCAGAATATCTGACTAAAAATTGAACTTCAAAAAGAACACGGGAAAAAAATTAGAACCAATCACCAAAAGGATCACAATGTATCGCCCAATATCTGCCCATATAACATGAGCACAATCATCATCCACCGCTACGCTCAATTAAAGCAAAAGTTAACGACGTGACCTCAACCGGAGCTCTCGGAAAAAATCAGAGCCCACGGACAGAGCCCTAAAAGGAACCGCTCTCCTGGCGTCCTCTGCAACCAATAATAAACTGTTTTCAGGATTTCCCAAGGCAATGCAGATGGGCACTTGGCTAGTAAAAATAATCAAGTCGGGGAATATGAACGAAAATTCAAAAAATGACTTCGTAAAGAAGGAAAGCAAACAAACAAACAAACAAACAAGCTTGGACAGCAAGTAAATTAACAGATAAAAGGATACCTGCCCAGAATGAGAGGTAGACCACGGAAGTTTGCTCGTTTCAACAATGATCCATGGAATACGAAAAGTTTTTCCCTCCGAGCCTTGCAGAGAGAAGAATGGGTTTGGGTGTGCGTGACTCGCGCCAGAGGGAGAGAGACGGGTCGGTGGTGACCCCGAAACGGTTTGAGGGAGATGACGCGGAAGGGCTCTTTCTGATGATCGATTCCACGTTGAATAGACCCTTTTGGCCTGTGCGCCTCGTCACAAGTCCCCCGCCAACTCGGAAAAATTCGCAGGAACTTTTAAGGAGGATTTTTTATTTTGATTTCGGCCGTTAAAAATTTCCGCCTCAGGTTGCGGGAATCCTTCTATCGTCTATTTATTTTAGTTATTCGCTTAGGATTATTCGATGCCTTCATTTTTTTCAGGTCAAAAATAATATCTTAATTGTTTAGCTGCTGTGCTTGAAATTACGACGTCGACGCGTTTTTTCTTTCCATTAACAAAATCATATCTTTCAGACTTTGACTCAAATTCTCTTTAGACTTTAGATTTCTTAATAAATATTACAAAAACAAAATTAAAATTAACACATATAATAAAATGTATAAACAAATTAAAAAATAACTGTATATATAAATTGTGCGTGAACATTTTTTGAATACATCATGAGAATTTGAAATTATAGATCTCTATCCATATCTATCCTGTCCTTATCACTCAGGTGGCATAAAAAAGTTAATAAATCTTTTAAATAAACATCATTGATATAACTTTTTTTTTTTACCAGGGAACATCACTGATATGATTAATGTCCCAAACTTCATAAGTTTTTATAAAATCACCCGTAAGTTATAATGCACGAATTCATTTAAAAAAAATACTCGCTTGTCATGCGTGCATGGTACATATCCAGTGAAAGGTGATTTATAGTTTATCTATAAATATAAATTGATTGATATATTAATTAATGTTAAAAAAAGTCAGAGAAATAATATTTGAGCTTTTTTTTTGGTCAAAAAATATTTGAGCTTGAAACACAACAAAATTGTATTTTTAAGGTTTCTGTTGAATTCTATATTATTTTACAATACTTATTTAGACTTGATGTAATTCTTTTTATTATTTCAACCTTTTTTATATCTTTAATAAGCTCTAGATGTTAAAAAAAAATAAGTACGATTTTTCAAAAATATAAAACTGCATATACTTGGTCCTAAGCTATATTTAAATTTAGGCTAAAGTCATTGTTTTAAATTAATTGATGCCTAAAATTCCTTCAAAATATATTAAATAACAAAATTAATTGCAACGTCGCGCTTCAAAACGCGCGCGCGGGTGGACGAACCAAAGATGATATCACGATAACGGTATCGCCGACGTCAATTACAAAATGAAAAATTCAAGGCCATGAGCGCGTACATAAACATGGAAATGAATTTAAAGAATATACGAGACAAATTATTGAACTATTAAAATATTTCTTCAATTCTAAATATAAAATCCTTTTTATAGTGTAAATTATATTAAAAAATTTATATTTAGGACCAGAGGAGTAATACAAAAGAATAGAAGGCTGGGTTGAAATGAATCATATATAATAATTATAATATACTTCCTCCCGTCTTAATTGCAGAAAATAGGTAACAAATTTATAAAAATTGAGAAAATTAATTAAATTATTTTTTTAAAAGAAAAGATGTGTTGGTATCTTGAGGTATCTTTCACTTACAGTAAATATTACCTCTATTGATAGAAACAGGACTTTCGACCTGACATAAATTAATCTTAAGCCCAAATTGATTCAAGGCAAGAAATAAAAAAATAAGGAGTCATCAGGTTTTATTTTTTTTGGGTCAAAGGGAGTCATCAGGTTAGATGTACGTAAAGAAATTATATTATAAATATAAATCAGATTGGAATATATTATTAGCGTGAAGAAATATTTGCGCATATTCGATTAACAGTTCTGAGAGACTACTGAAAACGTGGAAGTATATATATACGCCACCCACTACACCATGACATCTATTAATAAGCTTCAAAGTGATGGATTAGGAGACGCTAGACTTATAAAAAGTGAGTGCTTCGCATAGAAGTGAGTACAATTTATTATTAACATGCATAGATTTTGGAGAGAAAAAAACGTACGTCTCTTCCATGCAATTCATACATATTGTTATATATTACCTCTGGTTATTAATATAAGAACTAATCATATCAATTTTGTCTCCCAAATAAACCCTATAGTGATTACACTTGTTAAAGAGTTTTCATCAAAGATAGTTGCCATGCACATGATGATTAATAATGATGTTGTAGGAAAAATAACATTTATTTATTATAAATAACTAATTTTTAATATCCGCAAATTAATTATTTTTTTATATTAAGCACCAGAGATAATATGCTACCTTCGATCATCAATATAAAAGCTAATTGACTAATTTAAGCAGATTAAGAAAATTAGTTCGGTTAATTATTTATAATAAATAGTTGTTGTTTTTCCTAAAATAATTACTAATCAAATGCATTGACTAAAACTGCTATTATTACAGAATTACCTTAAGAAAAAAATGAATAAATATGAAAGATAAAGTGGATTAGGGTCTTATATTTAGCACCAAAATAAAAGTCAAACAAGTTGTCATATTAAGTAGGGAAGGTAGTATCTTTTATGGGATGATCTATTTGCCTCGTTACCCTTTCATCATATATAAATAAAATTAACCAACGTTAAGGCCTAATTAAGTGGACACGCACAGGCACATGTATAGCATATATTTGTCTAGTCCATGCATAGCCGCAGCAGCAATGCTAGTATATATATTGGTGTAACCGTATATCCACCCAGATTGTAAAAGCACTCAAAATGACAGTAGAACATGACTCAGATGTCGAAGTTTGGCTCATTTTATTCAGTTAAGAGCACACACCAACCCTAGATAACGTAGTAGCTAGTTCATAATTATATTGAAGACTACTGAAGAGCTTGCATGCATGTGACAGCTAATGCAGAAACTCTGAGATATATATATGGTAGCAGGAGGCAGACTCACATCCTCTCGTGAAGATTTGGCTGCATAGGCTGCACACGGAAGGCGAATGGCAGTTGTGAATGGAACTCCCTCACGCTCTGATCAAACCCATTCTCCAATTCTCTCGCTCCTTCCATTGCCAGACGTTGTTGCTGTTCAGATTAAAACAAAGGGAGAGAGCACTTAGGAAACAGATTGTGTTTCTTTCGCTATATATATTAATGGAATGTTGTTTACAAGTTATGCATATATTTGTGTGTGTGAGCGCTCGCTTAGGGGTCAGTATGTATCAAGTAATTACCAGTATAAAGTTGAGCTCCCTGTTCTCTTCCTCCAAGATCTTGCCCTGATCAGCAATGTACAGCGAAACAAATTATATACATTAGAGGTCTCTAAAAGAAAAATCACAGATGATAGGGCTAATTATGTGATTAACTTGCTATTCACACACTACTCTCTCCTGTGTTGCAAAGCAGTTAGGGACAATTCATTTCTAATGATGCGTGTTTATAAAAATATTGAAAATTTCATTATATTAAATATAGGTTATAGTATATTTATTACTTCTATCATGCCAAAAGCATATCTACTTGGTGGTCTAAGATGTGTTTGTACAAATGAACATAGCTTCTTCTGAAAAAATTTTGCCCCTCTCAATACTTCATCCCTAGTTAATCCCGCCAGCTCCCTGTGTGTATACTGGTGGCAGGAGCAAATTACGTGTGTCTTTACATGTGCGTGCATGGCATGTATGGATGTTTGTTTTTACGAGCTACAGATCTGTTCATGGTTTATGTATAAATGCTATGATATGCTATTTAATAAGTTACTTTCACACACTAAATTATGCTCTTAAATGATGCGCAGCCCACGTTCAAGTACACAACTTAAATCTTATTCTTAGCATTCTAATTAATCTATATAATATCCATTATGAGTGACGAGCATCAATTTTTAATTTATAATACATGAGTTATTAGCATATCGAGCAGCGCAAAACTGCGAGCCGTATAAACTGTAATCATCCTAGCTAGTACTAGACTTACATTTCTTCTGCATGCCCTGTAAATCTCCATCTGCACAAAAAAGTAAGTCTATATCAAATAAAATTGTTCAGATTCTTGTGCTACGTACGTATCTTTAACAATTCAAAAGGGGATGAACAACATACTCTTTATTTCATTATCAGGGGATTCAATTTTCGCATTGAATGACTCTTTTTTGGCTTTTGTTTGAAAAAGAATCAATATTACAATTTCAAATACGTGTAATTCTTCATGGCAGAGAAGCTAAATAATAATAGGCTTAGGGATCAGATTTGCCTGTCTCTCGCGTATACCAGCGAGGCCACATTCTAAGGCGTCCTCTAAGGCCATCAGCTCCTTGTAATTAAGCGTGTTCACATCCTCTCCCTTCAAGTGCCTGAAACGTACTTAGGCAGAGAGGCGATGATCCACGAAGATATGTGTATAGATATGAGATCACTGAAATTTAAGAGAGGAGGTAATAAATGAAATCAAAGCTCTCTATATACCTGAGCTCAATCTGCATGTTGTCGTTCTCTTTCTTGAGCCTATCAATTTCGTTGTTTAAGTCCTGTGAGTTCAGCAACATTATCGATGCAATTTTTAATATGGGATTCATTTTATCACCAAGAATAGGAAAGACAAGGGGCCGTGGTTACATGCTTGCATATAAATAAGCTAGAAACCTTTAAAAGAAATATATAATCAATAACAAAAGCTGTATATGTGGACTAACTGATTTCAATATCAGTCAAGAAAGGTCGAATCGAGAGAGAGAGAGAGAGAGAGAGACATTTATAATATTTTCATGCCATTAGATTTTTTATTCCCAGTCCTACCCATGGCCGCTTCCTTATCATTTTTGAAACAATTTAAACTGGGATTAGATCGATGACGGTATGCAAAGAGATGAATGGTCCAGACAAACATAGATCTGAAAGGAGATCCATAGTGCATGCCCCTCAGCACATATATTCTGGCAAAGACCTAGTCATTTATCAATCTCACTTCAACCCCAAGAGGAAGATCTAACAAGAAGCCAAGAAGGCTAGGGACGTCCATAACCTAACCTCATGCTTAGCGTCCCAGAGCCTCTTTCCAGACGTTTTGTGATATCTTTCTAGGATGTCGATCAACCTATAAAAATTTAAAAAAAAAAAATCAAAACCCAGAAACAAAAGAGAGTCAGTATAATTTCCGGCACATGAACTTTTATATGTCTTAGTTCTTAACAATATAAAACCCACAGCTGCTGTGATGAGAAAAACAACTCGAGAGAAACCATACAAAGAAGAGATTTTTCGTACGTGGTTGAAGGGCTGATGTATTCATGCATCTTTCCAGATGCAGCAAAGATAATAAGGGAAACTTGGGCATCGCATAGAACAGTAATTTCCTTCGCCTTCTTCAGGATCCCACTCTTCCTCTTGGAGTAGGTCACTTGCCTGTTGCTTGAGTTCTCAATTCTCTTGATCTCAATCTTACCTCTCCCCATCTCTCACAGTAAACTCTCTCTCTCTCTCGTGGTGATCTTCTTGCTTTGGATTAATGTTAGAAGTTTTGAAAAGAGATGCAGAGACAAAAGTAACAGCAAACCCTTACCATTGCGGGGTTGTAGATAAAGAACTTTCTACGCGGCACAGAAGCGGAGGGTTCGTTTATGGATTGCAATAAAGACAGACCCAATTTTAATTGTTTTTTTAAATTGAATTTGTTAATTAATTGCTGGCTTCGCCCTCTTATCCACTGGTTCAATTCCTGTCCCGTGGTCTTCAATTTAAATATCTTTAAGTGTTTCCTATATCTTTTTATTCGGTTGTTAACATTGTTTAAATTAATTTCAGTGATGTAGTCCAAAAAATTGGTTTATTGAGATATAAGCTCATGGTTATTTTTCTTTGATGCAAGTTTTTGTGTAATCCTGTAGGAGAATTTAAGAAGAGATGTAAGAGACAAGACGAAGATGAACTCGCCGCAATGCACAAGATAAATTAATTTTTGAAATGAATCACGCAACATATGATTCTAATATACACCGTTGATAGATGTGCCGTTGAAGAAAGCTAGTTATTTTTGTTGGATTCAAGTTTATGAACGTGCAGGGGATCAAATTAAGATGAGATATAAGAGATAAAAATTACGTTCCTTCCCTTCATTTAATTGCACCTAAATGATATTTAGGGAATGTTTGGTATTTGAGAAAAGTATCTTTAAAAAATATTATTTTTGTAAATTGAGATAAATTTTTTTATATATTTATTTTATATGTCGTAAAATCACTTTAAAAATTATGATTTGAGTTTCATCTAAATATTTTTTTGGTTCAACTTAATTAAAGCAAGTCCTGTTATCATGTGCGATAAAATTTGAAAATGAAAAAATGACAGGAAATTAATTTTTTGAGGGTTTGAGGTGGGCCGCTGTCAAATCAAAATCATCACAACTTATATTGAAGTCGGCGACGAACTTTTTCTAGGGTTGAGTGAAATATAGTATAATACGATAAACGATTGCCAAGAAAAGGGTACAACGTAATCAGGATCAACCATCAAATCACAAGGAATTTAAGGATAGTGATTTCTACTATTAGCAAAGGAAACTTTCGAAGTAAAGTCCCAACGAGTAAAGGAATATAATGGGAGTTTTCCAACTGCAAATGAAAAAACAGAAATTCGGCTGTGTTCAGGCCGGGCATCAGAATTACAAGAGGAGCGGAGAGCATTGGGTGCTCATTGATGAGCACCCAATGCTCATCAGATCTGGACCGTCCAGATCTGATCTGGACGGTCCAGATTTAATTTTAATGTTATTTTTATTTTTTTAAAATAATTATTTTAATAGATATAGGATAAAAAATAAAGATAATCTTCTAACTATCATTCTTTAAAATATATTTTTTTCTATTTTAAAATAATTATTTTAAAATATTAAATCTGGACCGTCCAGATTAAATCTGAACGGTCCAGATGGCTCATCAGGTGATGAGCAGCTGGTGATCATCACTTGATGAGCACTGTATACGGACCCACAAGAGGAGGCCTGCCCATACTTTAGACAAAGCTTCAAGTAGGCGACTTGTTGCGTGAAGTGTCTTTGATTTGAAAGGTCCGTAAGATGATATTATTGAAGAAATTAACTTTGTTTTTCATTCTGGGAAGTGCCGATTGTCGATCCATGCTTTAAAATAATTTTCTTCTAAAAACTTAAGCGTCCCTTGACCAAGGGGAAAAAAAACAAGAGATAGATCTAGCTTGTTCATCAAACATTAGCTGATTTAATTAAGTTGCAAAGATATCCTATAAATTTTCGGTAGGTCGTCGTCAGACATATTACACGAACATATAATTAGTTGACTTGGAGCCAAACCTCCACGACATGACCCGAGGACAAAGGAAGGCAACGTTCACTGCCTCCTTTTCCTCGAATGCAACAATTTTAAGTTCGAAGATCGCTCTCTCGTCCTGACCAGAGAAAAGAAATACGCTGCCATATGTGTATTGCTGGCGTTCAACTTTATCTTCCTTACTAATTGGTTTTAGGTCCTTCTTTTTAATAGGCTGATATATCTAGTAGCTGGAGCTGAGACATGACAACCATATTTTTCGGAATTTTCTAGATTCTTTCTGATCCAGGGGTCAAAGTACTTGGCAGTTTCCAAAGTGCAAAACCCTAGCTATGGGGATTCCTAGAAGTAGGACCAAACTGTGTTTGCGGATAATCAGTTTTAGTGCTGAATACAACCATGCTCATTAAATCTTAACCATTTAAATTTAATATAGATAGTCGAGATTCAATATTTAATATTTTGTTTTTTAAAAAATATTTTTTTCAATATGTATGTAATTCAAAATAAATGTTGAGTTTTTTTGAATTTTTTTTAAATTTTAAAATTACTAATTCAAAATCTTAAATCTATACCATTAAAACTGTATCTGAACAGTTTAAATTTCACCACAACAATTAGCATCATGGTGCTCATATATTGAAACTGATCCCAGGTCCACGCACAATAGAATAAGCAAAAGTATAACCTCCCAGTATAGATCGCTTCTGTTTTACGTTTCAGGAGCTCCATATGCAACTGTATGATTTATTTTTTCTTTTTGATGTTCGAAAGCTCTCCAAATCTTTTAAATTCAACAGTCAGGGTCAGCCCATATGTCCAAGAATTACTTTGATAATAAGAATCGTTAATTAACTGGCCTTATGCTTGAATATGTGTGAGATGATCGAGGGAATTAAACTAAACGAGTTATCCAATAGATATGTATCCATTTCAATGTCGACAAATTAAACAGCGCAATATACTTGCAGGCCTTTTGTAGAATCAAAGTTTCCAGACTTCTTCATGAAACTGGCTGGAAATGGAATTGTACCACAGTGCTAGATACCCTTAATTCTTCTTAATGCATGTCTATGCATGCATGAAATGATTAAAATCACACCCAAAAATACAACGATGAGCTTAACAAACCAAGTTCAAGTGACTCTATCATCACCGAAATATATTATAGAAATTTAAGTTAGAAACTGAAGAGCTGCGCTCCAATTTTAAGTCTAGCTCACACTATATATGGAAATGCCATAAAGTTCTCATAATCCAGTCATAGCTAACCCTTCCCAGCGGATCGATGCTTGTTATAGCATTAATTACGCCCGCACACACTACATCCTCTCTTGAAGGTTTGGCTGAAGGGGCTGCACGCGAAAGGCAAATGGCATCTGGGAATTGAAATCCCTAAAGCTCTGATCAAATCCATTGTCCACGTCTCTCACACCTTCCACTGCCAAATGCTGTTGCTGTTTAAAATAATGCAGAAGGAAGATTATCAGTTAATAGCAACACTTCCAGGAGGGACATACTTGTTAATTTAAAGAAACATCGTTTTCTAAAGTTGGTACCAGTCATTTGTAGAGTAATCAGTACAAACTTATAGTAATAACTATGCACAAATATGAGCTTCAATGAACAATATTAGGTTCCTTCATCTAGCTGTGCTTCAATTTCACACGTTTAATTAATAACGAGATACTCCACGTACTGAAATATAAATTAACAGAAAATTAAGCAATTAATTAAGTTTTGACAGTTATATCTGCTAACAGCGCCCAATCCAGTATCTCATAAGACATGAGCTTGCATATTAATTACTCCCACAGTCCTAAATATAAGACTCATTTTGTAGTGTAATTTATACTATAAAATGAGTCTTATATTTAATATCGGAGGAGTATATAAAAAGTGACTGATATGATCTTCATCAATATTAAACAAAGTAATGGCAGCAATATACAATCAACTATTACTTACCAGCAGGAAATTGAGTTCCCTATTTTCCTCCTCCAAGATCTTGCCCTGATGCAAGAATATAAAAAGTTTCGATATTACTTTTCAGCATTAATCTTTTGTAATAATATATGGTATAAAACATATAGCAGTCAAAAGATTCCAACATACATTTCTCCTAAACCTCCTGTGCACCTCCATCTGCCACATAAACAAAAGACGATATATACATGAGAGAGGAGGCTTAATATCAAGTACTGACAAATTAGAGTTGCGTTATTAGAAGAACGAACCTGTTTCTCGCGGACTCCCTTGAGACCGTTTTCAAGAGCATCCTCCAATCCCATCAGCTCCTTGTAATTTAGTGAGGTGATATCCTCCCCCTTCAAGTGCCTGAACAAATAACACATATATATATATATATATATATATTTGATCAATTATGCGTGTGTGAGAAAGGGATCGAAAGATCTAATACTGAAATATAGCTACCTGAGCTCAATTTGCATGCTGTCATTCTCTTTCTTGATTCTATCAATTTCGTTGCTGAGGTTCTGTGAGTTAAGACAACAATATTTTTGTAAACCCTATTATTTACTTTGCGAGAAATTAAAGGGACGGAATTAATAAGTCAACCTCTCTCTCTAAGCGTGTGCTGGACATAAGAATTATTGTGCTGCTCGAGAGAGAGAGAGAGAGATCTACCAAGTAGCTAGCTTGGAGAAGGAAAAGGAAAGCAAGTGAATCAGATCTGTTCATAGATCGGTATCGCAGGTTTCATGGTTTTCTGTGTGTCTCAGTTTAAGAAAAATGAAATAAAATTAACCAATAACCTTATATTACTCAAATAAAACAAAGAATCCGTTCCAGATGTGGATCTACAAGGAATCACCATGTTCCTCGACATGCTTTTGGCAAAAGAACTAAGCTTTCTTCCTCTAGCGCAAGAAAACCACTACCCGTAAGTTTCTAGCTTTGTTTCTAATGGAAAAGGCATTGATATATTCATATCAGAATAAACCTAGCTACCTCATGCTTGGAGTCCCAGAGAGTCTTCCCAGATGTTCTCTGATACCTGTCCAGCATGTCAACCAACCTACCACCAAAAACAAAAGCTTTAACTCCCAAATACACACAGCCAATTAAATTAAGAAAAGTAAATTGAAACGTCCTACAGTCGCATAATCCTTTTTCTTTGATTTCATCAATATATAGAACGAAATAAAAATTATAGTCCCTTACGTGGTGGAAGGGCTGATGTAGTTATGCATCTTCCCAGATGAAGAAAAGATAATAAGGGAAACCTGGGCATCGCATAGAACAGTAATTTCATTTGCCTTCTTTAGGATTCCATTCTTCCTCTTTGAGTAGGTCACTTGCCTGTTACTAGAGTTCTCAATCCTTCTGATCTCAATCTTACCCCTCCCCATCTATCACCGATATTCTCTTCGTCTTCTTCTTCTCTACTGCTTTTTCTTTGGTCTTCTTTCTTCTAGCTTGTCAATTAATGGATCAGAAGACGTGGGGAAGACAAAGAAAAGTATCGGTGCAATATTCCATTATGGGTTTGCGGATGAATCACTTTCTGAGTGGCACAGAAAGGAAGGGTTTGTTTACGGCCGGTTGTGACCCACCACAACTATTTTCTTTGTTTGATTTAGCTTTGAGTTCTGCTGCCACCTTCTGGACCACCGGTTTCTCCATGTTCATTTAATTGAAATAGGATTTTGGGGCTTTTAACTCAGCTATAGGTTTGAAGGGTAAGCGGAGTACGTACTACGTAAATTGGGTTCGCACAGATTCTCGAGACTACTTACGTGTTGATAAATTAAACGCGCTTTGATGCTTGTGATGAGCTCAGTAGTCTTAAACATCAAATCAAAAGTCATGGTGGGGATCATTAGTGTCGGCTTTTAAAGTAATTAATGTGTCTAAAAGGCAACAAGAATACTGTCATAGTTTTGCTAATTGTATAGTAGTACTGCAGTATATCGCTAACAGAAGGGACGAAGGGAAGAAAGAGAAGTGTCAGCCGCTATGAAATTATTGGCATTCATTTATTTATTTTGATGAACCTTTTGGTATCAAGTTTACCGACTAATTTAATAATTTTGATTAAAGTATTACAAAAATGTTTTTTTATTTACTTTTTATTTTGGTATAACTTAGAATTTTCTTGAGTTACTTTGAGTTTGTAATTTATAATTTCTATCAGGTCAGAAGAGTTAAAATTAAAGTCCTCCTAATACATACGTTTTTTAGAATTTAAACTTGTGTTCTCCTCCTCCTTATAAGGGTTTGATCTCTTACCATCTCAAACAATAACTTGATCGTAAATGTTTATTTATTTTATACTTATAGTAGTTTAATCTTTAAATGAAATTTCAGGAGGACAAATAAATTTACATTAATCATTCATTATTTTTTAAGAAAATAAAATAAATATGCAAGACATTAATTGCACAGGAAAATTCTAATTTTTCAGAAAAAAGTCAACACTTGCCATAGTTAAACAATGAATTATTCTATTCCAAAGCAATCAAATATCGGAATATAACAAAATGCATATGCTCTTTGAAGAATAAACTAAGCACCAATTGGCACATCTGATTTGAAGGATTTTAAAGTCGACGGTTGGTAGAAACTGCTATCTTCACTCGATCGGTTGCATGACATGACAATAAGGGATTGGGATACTATTCGCAAAGCACTATTATCAACCATAGAACTTCAATAAAATATTTGGTCCCAGGAGCAAATTAAGGACATATATATTTTTGCGTATTGGTGCTTTGAAATAAATCCACTTCTCCATCTTTATTAATTTACTTGCTATATAAACTCTAGAAGGTGATAAAAATATTTCTCCTCCTTCGTAATATTATAAAAAAAAAAAAGTTCTTTCGATGCAGTTTTTCTTGAACTACTGGGTGACCATCAGGGGCAGAAGAACCAGCCTTTGAACTTAGAGGGACCCTTTTTTTTTAGAAAATTATATGCATTTATCAATGAGTTTCTTTAAAATTTTAATGCTGTAGGCGACCAGTCAAACCCACAAAAACAGGTTTGATAAGAGGATAGGGCGGAAGTGTCAGGATCTACTTGGCTGACTTGATATAAAGAAATCCCTTTTTCTCTTTTACTTTTGGATCATGATCATCCCCTTGATTTTTTCAAAATAATAAAATAAAATGCAGCACAGACACACACGGAAGTGTAATAGAGGGTAATAATATTATATGAGAGTCCCATCAGAAGATAAGCAAGAGAGTAAAACAATGCATATCTCTAGCGTCTGCTCAGTGCGGGCTAGCTGGTGAGGAAGGAGACCTTAAGAGGGAGTTTACAAAATGACCTGAGGTTAAAGGAATGTTCACTGTTTCTTTTTACACGCAAAAACTTTGACATCTCAGAGTTTGCAACGTATCATTTAGACAAGACGGGGCTCTCTCCCTACATTTCATTTCATAACAATCTCTCAAGGGGGTAGGCCTGGAAGGTGAGAAACTGGAAACATAGGCACATCTCTAAAGGGGAAACAACTGAGTTATAATGGAGCTCATTCTACACATCTTCTATATACTAGTATAGTTTTCGTTTCGGCTGTTCTCAACACGTCTTCTTAGGGTTAGGATTCCGATGCCGTCTATATTTCCTCGGCAAAAGACTACCACTAGGTTCTTTCCGTTAAATGCAGTCGATCTCAGCCGTTAAGGATGAACGATCTACACTGTCCATTCTGTGCCTTCGCACTTCACTGCAAATTGGAGGAGGGACAGTTCTCCTCTTCTCCAAGATTCACAAAAGTTCTTGGACTATATGTTTTTACCTTTTCCCCGATTTTATTTCTACGGAATACATCTCATAGAAAAGGTCCATTGCAATTTGAAATAAGCTTGACAGCTCAATGAAAGATTTATGTGAAGTACGTCATGCCCTACCTGACTCATGAGGAATTGGCGCCTTGGTGAATTTCCCGGTAGTTACTTACCTGTTCTCCGCTCAACAAAAAGCGGTAATCAAATTGCGATGGCTTGGGACACGCGGTGCATTGATGGGAAGATAGCTTTTTTAGCTTTGGAAGGTGTAGACGTGAAGTTCACTTGGACTTTCATGGACATCACCATGTAGTTACCCCCTTAATCCCGGCGTGCCTAATGGCCCAAGTAAATGATAGTAGATTCCAAACCTTGATCTATGTGCATAGTGTCACATCATGGCCCAAGTAAATGGCCCATATGCATGCCGCGATATCGCGGGTTTCTTTCATTGGTGCATGCTAGATGGATGGGTTGAAGGATCTTCTTCCGAGGTCAAGCATTATAACAGCAAGATGGGCGTTTATATCCCCTACCCTGCTTTGCTATGACTTGTTATGCATCTATATAGGATTTCATTGGAGGAAGTCTTGAAAAAAAAGTGCTACTCTCACAAGCACATTAATGTTCGCGGATCAAATCAATATTTCATTATAGCCAAACTTGCCCAAAATTGAATGGTTTCAACTACAAGCCTCAACCACATGGTACAGGTGTCACGTGTCATAGAATGGTGGGATCGGTGTTCAAAGGCTCAGAACTCTTTGCGGATCAAATTGATAGTGTACAGAGGCTCGGAACTCTCGCCAATGATTACATCAGAACGTACAAGAGACGGTGATATTGGGATCGGTAAGCAAATGGCGTCGCAGGGCCATCCAAATTACAAAATGGAAGAGGATACAGCATATTACTTCGCAATGACTACGATCGAGATAACTCCATTTATCGTCCGTCCTTGGTTTAATTGCCTCAACACATTTTCCACTAAGACGCATTGATAGGCCATGGGGCAGTCTTCCACTGCGACGTGCTGTTAACAGTTAATCAAAACCAATTAGAAACGCTGAAGTCTCGAAGCTTGCTAAGGTGTCTCTCCATGTCTCGTCTGGTTTTGTCCCACTCCTCCCTTTCTATCACAGTGGTTGGATCATCTTTTTCACTCTGCACACAGAGTAGGGGGAAACGGAAAAGCATACATGTAGTCAACTCATGCGCAAGAGGTCAGCAACAATTTCAGTGTAAGAGATAGTTACCGCGTGAATTATTTTGAAAGAGTTCCCGTTATCTCGTACAACAAGCAAGTCACTCTTTCTATCTCTATTTCTTCCCCCTGGAGCTGTCACCTGTGTAAAGCATACTAAAAGTTAACATGGGTGCTAAAATCACAGACCACTATTCATATTCATAACTCTCAGACAGTGACAAGAGTTGCCCTGTTAGTAGGTAACCAACACTAAAGAACCTCTAACTTAAGGAGACAAGCAAGACAGATATCCAATCTGGCTAACTGGGTTGTACGGTTCTTCTTGGTCGCTAATGCCGTGTGCAAAATGGCACATGCTAAGAAGGATCATTAAGAATGCGATTAGGATTATCATCACACAAGAGAAACAAGGAATTTAAAGCAATAACTTGCTCAAGACAAAAGGCACGGTAATATGCATACGATATGCAAGGAAACTGCAAGCACCAGTAAAGCTGCAGGTAAGCAAAGACATTCCGAACCTCTTCTAACAGCAGGAGAACCCCGCAAGTGATATACTCTGTCTAAATTGACAAGGCTGTATCATTTCAATTTTATTGGACGTCCCCTCTAAAGGGACATGTGCTTGCGACAAAGTACTCCTTCGGTCTTAAATATAAAACTCATTTTTTAGTGCAAATTTAGAAGGGGAGGAGTAGTAATTATCAAAAATCAGCTAGAAAATTAAAAAAATGATTGTTTACCAGAACTTTTGCTCTCGTGATTGACTTGGATTTTGAATCAATAACGTAAATTTCTTCAAAATCCAGAACAAACTCAGAGTCACCCAATCTCCGATTTTTGTAGTGTTTTGTCAAGAAGACCTGAAGCAAGAAGTAAGTCAGCTGAGCAAGAGCTGTGAGAAATCATTAACAAATAAGTGCATCCTTTCGGCTCTAGTTACATCACCTTTTTGGCCTTACATTATGATAAATTTTCTTGTAAAGGTAAGAGGGACATTTAGGACTAACATGTTTGGTCACATAAATAAAGGCAATCATTTCACACATACCGAAGGGCTCAACTACAATTACTGCCTATACCTTCTGGATCTCCCTTGTAGTTTTATAAAGCGGATCTCGAGGAGCATCAATTGGTGGCTCAGTCACATTGTAGCATCCATAATCACTTTTGGCGCATCGAATGTACTACAGAAACAGGCAAAACCAAAGCTAGAATAATCTGGAATTATAATATGCATAAGGGTAAATGAGATAAAGAAACAATGAGCCCATTGAACGCACTCGATTGCTCATGTTATGTTTTGGTCAGCTTCTTAAATGGTAAAGCATGGTCAATCATTTGTTATTGAACTATTCATTCCATCATCTCTTATAGCAACAGAACACACAGACGGAGGACTTGATATGAAGCAAAGGAAGGCAACCACATTCTTTTTGTGGAGAAGAACATCCTATGGTACAATTAGTTTAAGCAGCATTTGAAAAGAGAAAAAGAAAGAAAGAAAAAGCTCAATAGATACATGGCAGCTCTATATCAATGTGATTAAATAATGGGGGTGATAATGATTTTGGCAACTAATTAATATATTTCCCCGGTTTTAGACATCAGATAGCAAAATTGCAGTACGGATTCCCTGAGTTCTGAAAGAGACACAAAGTTTTAATGACTTCAGTCTAGGGAACACAGTATCATGAACATCACGTCTGAAAATTTATCATCAACGGGAGAAGATGAGCGATAAAATAGACATCAGAACAGCACCTTCTGAGGCATTGGAGCGAGAACCTTAGGAATTGAATAAACGTCCGTATCCGGAGGAGTAACATACATCTACAACAAAATTTTCCGCAGGGAAGGCAAGGAAGGTTATAATTATATATCAAAATAAAACAAACTAGAAAATCCAGCCCTGTGAAGGGTAGGGTTGGACTCACAAACCTCCCTAAAATCAAAGACATCGTTATCGGGGTCCGGTGGCTTCCTTATAAAGAAGTCGCAGTCAAGCAAGCTTATCTTGTGAAACTCTTCTTCATTAATTCTGTAATCCACGACCATCTCCGAATCCCATCCCTGCGTTGACACGAAGCTCTTGCTCTGCACCATCTCAATGTCCTCGTCACCACCAGAAGCGGAAGGCGCCAAAGCGCCAGATAATGGGTCGTACTCGATTTCAAAGTCCTTCTTGTTGTCCACCTCCTCCATTTCGTCCGGATCCATCATCTCATAGTCATCGGGGCCAGCGGCGTCGCCGTCGCCATCGTCGGAACGTACCAAAAATGGGTTTTTCCTAGAAGGAGAGGCCACCACAGGCAGGTTTAAAATGGAATGGGATTTAAAGGGTAAAGAGAAGACGGGTGGAGGGGCATGAGAGGGTGCGGGTAGTGAAAAGGTCGAAGTGAACAACTTTGGAGATAGAGGAGGTGAGGAGAAGAGGAATAAAGAGGTGGGGTTGGTGGTCATGGATTTTGGAGGGGGTGCACGAGCTCTGGTTCGGGGTTCACCGCTCGGGCGGAGTGTAGTCGGAATGTCGGATAGACTTGTTGGGAAATGGGAACAGAGCCAGAACTAGGACGAACTGGGCACGGTAGCGTTCTGTTGAATTGGGCGCAAAGTCTCGGATAAAGCGCGAAGTCCACCCCCCCCCCCCCCAAAAAATTTACGGGAGAAAACTGGCTACTCATTAATAGTAACAAGTGTTGGCCAAAAAAATTAACATTAACAAATATACAGTTGACAGTAATAAATCATACTGTCTTAAATTTTATAAAAATAAATATTTTCTTTAAAATTTAATTAGAAGAATTACAATCAAATTTTATAGAAAAAAATTACAAAATAAATCTCAAAAATTTTTATTTTTTAATGAGTAGCCAGGTTTCTTCAGGTTGTTATAAATATTTTTTAGTAATTATTTTTTTTATTGTAATTCTCCCAATTTACTATTATTATCAGCCGATGATGCGCTGCGCCCCGGCTTCGCTTCCAGCAGGTCGAGTCGAATTGCAGTCAAAATACCTTTGACTCTTTTTTATTGATAGTTTTTTCTTTTAATTTTAATTTTGTCAACTTTTATTATTTATTTATTTATTTTGGAATCCCGCGCAATTTCTCCGCAACCGCTTTCTTCTGTTTAGGGCTTAGTCTTCAGCCTATGTTTTCCCATCCTAATGAGTGAATCATTGTAAGAAGCCCCAGCATTCCGAGGCTAGACTAATTAATTTTGATTATGGAAGAGAAGGCTCCTCCTGGTGATGGTAATTCGACGAGGGTTTCATCGTTGTTCGCCAAAAAGGGTGACCGCCAAATTTTTACGGTGGAGCTCCGGCCTGGAGAGACCACCATAGTCTCATGGAAAAAGCTGATGAAAGACGCTAACAAGGTTAATGGATCCACTTCGGCTCCCGAATGTCCCGCCAATGCACACCCCGCGCTGGAGTCAAGAATCGCTCCTGTGAGACTTCCTATCTTCTCTACTATCCGATTTGTTTCTCTGTTGATGTGATTTCGAAGAATTCGTCCTTATCTTTTAAGAATCATAGGTGCATTTCTACCTAAAAACGGAATTATACATACATTATAATTAAGACACTAGCTGAGTTCGTGTTTTCATTGTTAGCATTTTCCCCCAAACCATGCGTCATACTTAGCATTAGAAGAGAAGACCTAAGCCGAGGGCGTGGTTTCTCACTTGGCATAGTTACAATTCGGATCTTTCTATTTTGCTTACCTGAACAATTCAGGCCTTTTAATTTCAATACAAGTAGTTCATTTCTTTAAATTAGATATCTGAAATACAAGTGAAAATTATTGACGATTATACTACAGTTGAGATTCGTAATGGAAGTTACTGTCTCTGTTAATTATTTTTAGTTAAGTTCATATAATAGCATGTCCTGTATAACATTGTTTCTTGTTTTCCTTTGGGGCACTGGTACTATAAAATTTAGGATATTTTCTTTCTGAAATTGTGTTTTTCTGTATACTTCACTTAATTGTCTCAAGCCTTGCTCGTCTTCTACAGGGTCCCGCTGCTGAAAACAAAGTAACAGATGCTTCCCAGCCAAACCGTTTCAGCGCTGTAATAGAGAAGATTGAGCGTCTTTACATGGTGCGAATGTGTATCTAATGCTTGCTGAGTTTGTCATAGATGTGCATTGAAGTTTTATATTTTGGGGAATTTTCAACGTTGGAGATGATGGTATTTCAGGGTAAGGACAGTAGTGATGAGGAAGATCTACTTGATGTTCCTGATGATGATCAGTATGATACTGAAGACTCTTTCATTGATGATGCTGAGCTGGTTGGTATCTTTGTATATTGTTTTGATTTGACTGCTGACTGGACAAATATCCTTTGTATCATGTACACCCCCACTTGTATACTACTTTTGTTTTAGGTTTCCTATCCTTTCTGCAGGACGAATATTTTGAGGTTGATAATTCGGTAATTAGACATGATGGCTTCTTTGTCAACAGGGGGATGTTGGAACGCATGTAAGTCTAATTTAGTTTAGTTTTTCTTTCATTTTTTAAATATTTAGCTTGAGTATCTCCTTATTCTCCTCTTCCCCATAACTTACATTTAGCAAATCATTCTACCTTTTCTTCTTTGGTTGATTGGTGAATTCAATTGGATCATGTCACTGCAATGGTTTACTGGCAGAAATATATTTGGTCTTGAGGAGGTTTTCATCGGCAATACATATTTTTAGCTAATTAATGTGCATGCCTTTATTAGTTTATCTGCTGTTGCAAGCCTGTTCTTCACGCTTCTATCAGTTCTTAATGTAATTTTTCTTGTTCATGGTTCAACTTTTTTGTCACTTGTCTACAAGCTCTGCATTAATTTTCTTAATGATTTTCCTTTGTTTCTTTGTTAATTACTAGAAGTGAACCATCAGTATCAGCTAAGCAGCACCCAAAAAAAAGGCGCAAAAAAGATGAGTTGAAGAATCCTGATGAAAGTTATCAAGGTCAAGGATCTAATAAACATGTAAAACTGGGCAGGGCAGCAACTGGAAAAACGGCTATGTTACCATTGAAGAATATGTCTAATTCCTCACAGAATCTGGTTGGACCTAGTGAAAATTATGAGGAATCAAAAGGTCGGAATCAATTGGATGTCCTGGGAATCAGTTCAAAAAAGAAAACTGCTGATACTAAACCAGTATTGGATTCTTCTGTCTGTTTGAAAGTGTCTTGTGATGATGGTCCTACTTCTGTGACTGAAGCAAAGAATGTTGATAAACAGAGCGCAGGAGTCCCTCAAATAAAGAACATGAGCAACAAGCACAATGATGCAAGTACATCATCTGATGCTTCCCAACAGAAGTACCGTGAAAAAAGTGCTGGTGCACAATCCAAATCCCAAGCTGGAAGACCCTCTAGCAATACCAATGATTTAGAAGGTGCATGTCGGTCCAAAGAGAAAAATAGGATGTGTGAATTACCAGATCTTAACTTTTCTGAGGCCAAGTATCCTATGCAAAAAGCAGTAAGTTGATGTCCCTGGGTCTCCCCTAAATTTTTTTTAAATGCATGCATGTATGTATGGATTTAGAGGATGGGAAGGCAGGTGGAAAGGGATAAAGGGCCAAAAGGAAGTCTTGGTAGATGTTAGGAATGAATTACTAGCGTTTTGGTAATATTGCTTCATCTCCTCATTTGACTTATCTTTTGGGCTGTCATGGGTAATGCTGTGTCTTTGAAATGAACTTAATTAAAAAAGGCATGCAGGGACCATGGGGTGATTATTTTTCAAAGAAGTTTGAAGAGGAATTTTGGCTCAGTTAGCTGTCCTTATATTGGCATCTTCATGCACCTGGTGTAATGTATGTTTTGTTTTTCTGATCTTTTTGACTGCAGATGATGATATGTGTATTCTTGTAACGATTGACTGTTGATATGTTAACATTTCGTGCCATTTCCTGCTATAAATATGCTTGTGAAACTTTTGGTAACTATTTGTTCAAATGGTCTGCAGAAATCACATTATATTCACAAGAAAGATGGTTCTAGTGTGAGGCCAAAAATTTCAGTTCTTGAAAAGGCAATTAGAGAGTTAGAGAAGATGGTTGTAGAGTGTAAGCCTTATGATTTTAATGAAGTTCACATTTCTCTTAGATATGAATAGTTGAGAGTTCATAACTAATGTTTTTTTTTTTTTTTTGGTTTTCTGGTGGTGCTAACTTTACAGCAAGGCCACCTGCAGGGGAAAGCCAGGAGGCTGATACTGTATCCCAGGCAGTCAAAAGGAGGCTTCCTGGAGAAATAAAGCTAAAGCTGGATAAAGTTGCTAGAATAGCGGTGATGGCAGTTGCTAATCTCTTGATATTGTCTCGTTGAACTGTTGTGTTTCTAGACATGTATACGATATTGTGTTCTATTTTCACTCAAGGGCTTTTAACTGTTTGATATTGTTATATTGTTTTGAATGATAAAATACATGGTCTTTACTGCTGCAGGCAAGCCATGGGAAAGTATCAAAGGATTTAATCAACCGTCTAATGAGCATATTGGGGCACCTGATTCAGCTTAGAACACTGAAGGTATTGCAGCCTTCTTAATATAAACAGACGTGAGGGAACCGTAGTGTAGATACTGTCTTGCTAAGGTGGAAAAATGGAATGTTCTACCGCCAATTTATCCCATGAGCTTAAGTTAGGAGAAAGTGCAGGAATGGTTTTGGATATTTATTTCTAACACACCTTCTCTGAACTAAAACCAATCTTTCCCCTTTTGATCAAGTACTTTAATGTGATGTGACTGAGTGTGGCATTTTCTATTTAAATTATATTATCTTGTCAATGTGTTGGCTAAAACTAATCTTTCTTGAGGATTTTCTTACCACTTGTTTCATTATTGTAGATATCATAGTCCTAACAATTGTGTTACTTTTGGTCTCACTTTTACTTACTCTAATGCATTGTTGTCCTGCTACAGAGACATTTAAAAGTGATGATAAGTATGAGCTTGTCAGCAAAGCAGGAGAAAGATAGTAGGTTTCAGCAGATAAAGAAGGAAGTTGTTGAAATGATTAAGGTGCAAGGCTCCTCACTACTGTCCAAGGTATACTATAGTCACTCTAGCGTTTTCATTCCTAACCAGTGATTAGCAATCTGGCTTGCATGCCTTTTGTTTTCACTCATTGAATGCTAAAGACCTAGGACCTTTTATATTGATGTGATAAGTTGCACGCAGAAATTGTGATTGTTGTATTTGCCAAGATCATTTAGCTGGAAATAGATTTTATTTTTTGTTTTTGCTTGTGATGCCGAATCTTGGATCATGTCTTGCATATCTTCTTATATGTGCATTGTATCTTGGTCACAATTTTGGACTATCATTTTGTTTCAGTTTCTTTTGTATAATTTGAGGTGAATGACTTTTTTGTGGCATTTGAGCTACAGCAACAAGGTGGAGCATCTGGTATTGGTCAAGAATTTGGTCCTGATGAAAAAGCCTCAACTGCAAGGAAGCTTAGCATGGACGCTGCACTGGAGGATAAGATTTGTGATCTCTATGACCTTTTTGTCGATGTACAATAGCTCTAAGTTTAAATGTTTATTTTTAAAAGCATTTTTGGTTGTGCAAAATCTTTTTCAATGAATCTTGTTTGTAATTGTTGTAGGGGTTGGATGAAGGTGCAGGTCCACAAATCAGAAAATTTTATGCTGAGGTGATTCAATATTTTTGTTCTTCGTTCAAAATAGGTCTATCAGAGATTATGATGTTTCTGCTTTGTTAATCCTGCATTGTACTAGTAATAGCCCTTCCCTACTCTCTACTTCAAACTTCTTTCCTGGTTGTGGACCTCCTATGTATCCCAGAAATAAAAATGCACAACAGACTTCTAGCCCCTTCTTCAAGACAAAAGGGAAATGGTTGTGGGTTGAGCATTTAACGGTTATCATTGATTTTTCTCTTAGGTTTCTAGTCTTTCCTTTCAGGAGCCATGGTGCTGTTTATTTTTTGAACATGTAGTTGTCATGTCTAATTTAATCTGTATGCATTTTTTTTTAAAAAAAATGAAATGTGGGCATTATAAACCGTCTGATTTGTCAGTTTTTTGACACTTGGTACCACTTCATGTTCAGCTTGCACAATTATGGCCAAATGGCTGCATGGACAACCATGAGATCAAACATGCAATTTCTAGAGCAAAAGAGAGGCGCAAAGCATTGTACAACAGGCATAAGGTATGCCTTTTCCAGCAAATAGTAATTAGTCATTCTGAAGAAGCCGTGGCATTTTCTCAAAAGGACAACTCTTGTTCTCCAAGTTAAAACAAAAATTAGAGAAGAGTTTCTCAAATTTGTTTCCTCATTGTGAGGAACTCAAGCACTTCTCTCTAGTTTTCCTTTTTCTTGCTCACATACCAGACCCTTCCCTGGATGTTATGCTACCTCTAGTCCTTAATATAAGACTTCGTTTAACTTTTATTTGGATCCTAAATATAAGACCCCAATCGATTTTGTCTCTCATATTTATGTATTTTTTTCCAAGGTAGTCCTTCTAATAATGATAGTTTTAGCTAATATACTTGATTAGTAAGGATATTTTAGGAAAGACAACACTTATTTATTATAAATAACTAACTTAATTTATTTTTTTAATATATTCAAATTAGTCAACTTGCTCTTATAATTAGAACCGGAGGTAGTATTTCTCCGGATGGTGTCACTTATTTCTTGGTTTTATCTCACTGGTTGACTTGCTTATGATCAGGATCAGGACAAAGTTAAGAGGAAAAAATTTTTGGGAGGTAGGCAGGAGGAGAATCTTCGATATGATGCCTCGCATCAGAACATGGGAGAGAGACTGGCTCCAGAATCTGGCAGTCATGCTTTTACTTCAGCGAACAGACAAGTTTCTAATACAATCACCACTGCCCGGGCTCCCAGTTCTTCCATGAATGGTCCTAAACAAGAGAAAGTCAAAGGAGGTTCGAGTAATCCCCGTGATAATGTCAGGACAGCAGATGCTGTTTTAAGAAAGAAGGTAAAGAGAAAAGCTGAACTGGAATCGGAAGGACCTCATATCCGTCCAGAAAAGCTGGGTTCTTTGTTGGGAGAAGAAAGGCCTAAGCTGCTAAAGCAGTCAGCAGGTCTTCCCCTTGAATCAAACTTTCAGCTGACATCTATTCCAAATCTTGAACAGTCAACGTGACATCAACTCGGAGGCTTAGGCAGAAAAATGTCTGTGTATTGCGCTTTCATTCTTTTCTTTTTTTTTTGTTTTTGGTTCTCAATTTCCCATCGTCAGCGAGTTATATGTTAATGATTGTCTCCTTTTTGTAATTAATGTCCGTGCAAGGTTCTAGGGCGTGTGGGTTATGCGTAGTTGCCTCGTTATCGCTTGTTGGGCTCCCCGGCGATTTATTGGCCCAAAGCTTCTATCCGATTTCTTCTGTTTTTATCGTCAGATTTTTTTAAAAAAGGAAAGGTGCCTGATTAACTAATAACATTGACAATTAAATAAATTTTTATAAGCAAAAATTTACCAATAAAAATTGCAGAAAATTCTTTGAACAATTCTGATATTTACTGAGAAAAACAATCCGGCTCCTAACAAACATGTATATTAATCTTAATGATAACTCTTTATTTGAGGAGCATTATTATAGTCAGCATGAAAATATTGCATGTTTTTCTTTCTGATGTACTCTTTAGATCTTAAGTGTAAGAGGTATTTTATGGTATAAATTACATTATAAAATGAATTTTACATTAATAAAAAAAGAAGGAAGAGTATGATTTTAAGGGAAAATGATAGAACAATAATTTTTTAATTTAAAAATTCCCAAATAATCGCTTGGATGAGTAAAATTTCAATATGGGTATAGATGACCTAATTGAGATTTGTAAATTTTTTGAAATGTTTATATTGTTTTTTTTTTTAAAAAAAAGAACTAAATAGTTACTGGAACTTTGGAGGCCAATAACTATTTTTTTAAAATTTTTATAACTTTAATAACACAGTTAACAAGTTCTTTAATGCTATAATAAGTTTGATATAACAGTTAACAACAGGTTTTTTAGAAAATTCAAAAAGTGACATTTTTACAACTTTAATAATACGATTAACAAGTTCTGTAATATTATTAACAAGTTCGATATAGTAGTTAATAATATATTTTTTTAGAAATTCAAAAAGTGACAATTTTTATAATTTCAGTAACCCGGTTAACAAGTCGTGTAACAATATTAACTACTCTACCTGTATAAAAAAAAAATATATTAACAACTCTACTAATGTCATTCAAAACTCTAATAATGATTAATGTAATAATATTAACAACTCTCGTAATCATAGTAAATGCCTAATAAATGAATATTTTTTCATGTACATGAGCTAATATTAAAAACATAAACTTTTATAAGGAAATTTTGTTAATAGAGTTATGAGAATTATTAATATAGTTATAGGACTTGTTAACTGTGTTGCTAAAATTGTAAAAATGATACCTTTTGAATTTCTTGAAAAAACCTGTTGTTAATAATTATATTGAATTTATTAACAGTGTTACTAATATTGTAAAAATATTACTTTTTGAATCTCCTGAAAAACATATTATTAACTGCTATACCGAACTTGTCAATAACGTAATAAAAACTGTTAACTGTGTTATTGAAATTATAAAGATGCCATTTTTGAATGTTCTGGATAACCTGTTGTCAACTACTATACCAAATTTGTTAATAACATTAAAAAACCCATTAACCATACTATTGAAGTTGTAAAAATACCACTTTTTGAATTTTTTTGGAAAAAAAACCTACTGTTAACTACTATATCAAATTTATTAACAGCATTAAAAAACTTGTTAACTATATCACTGAAGTTGTAAAAATAAAATAAAAAAGTTGCCAGAGCTTCGCGCGATGGGTTGTCAGCGGACTATCAGAGCTCCAGTGACAGTAGCTCACTTGAACTACAGCGGCTGCAGCCTACATCAGAGCTCTAGCAACAAGCTAGCTGATGAGGATGTTTGTTTGTTTTTTTTTAAAACAAAAAAGACTATGGTTATTTCAGCAAATTTGTAAATCTCAATTTGATCAACTATACTCAAATTGTAATTTTATTTATACAGGTGACTGTTTGAGAATTTTGAAATTTAAGAATTTTTTTTGGTTTTTTTTTAAAATTTTGAAAGCATTTCCTATAGACGGATAAAGCTCAACAAGTTCCCCGATTCCGCCACATTTCACATTTGCAAAGTTCGGGTGGGGAAGCGTCTGAACTCGCTTTCCCGCGTTTTTGTGTTCTCTTCCCTTTTCATATCTCGCGGTCTCACAATCGTGAATCGTCTATTCGTCTGTTCTCTATGGGTAAATTAACTTCGTAAACCTAATTTATACTATCCGTTGGCCAAAAAAAAAAAAAACGCTATCCGTTTTCTTCCCCGAAATCTTTTCAATGGAAGGGAGACGTAACAGTCAGTATTGATTACTGCACTTGAGTGTGTGAGGGAGAGCGCTTGCTGGCAGAGATGCTGCGGACGAATGCATTCGAAGGCGCGGATGTGTTCATGTCGCGGAACCTCGTGCCGCCGGAAGTCTTCGACGCACTTCACGACGCGCTTAAGAATAACGGCGCGCGTGTCCACCTTTGCTGCGATCCTTCGCGCAATGGGCCGCACGACTATCATATCATATCTCACGATCATGTAATAGCTTGGTGTCCTGCGATTAGTAGTTTTAGTTGAATTCGAGTTTGATTTCTGCATTTCTGATATTTCTTTTTTCTGTTTCCAAATTTATTTGAAGGAGAAACTGGAGGATCTTAAAGCCAGGGGTTGTAATCTGCTTGGTAAGTTTTTAAGTTTCCGCTTGCTAAGACTATTGTTACCGCTCCTGTTGGTTGGTTGTGTTAACTGAAATCTTCTTGTTCTTTTCTCGTCTTCCCATTCATTACGCAATTGCAAAGTTGATTTAAGAGCTTTTAGCTGTGTAATTTTCTGAAGTGGCTTTAAGATGCGTAGAACCTCGTAATCTGATGTTGAAAAAGCATTATTGTTTGTATCAGCCATTTGCAGACGCCAGATTGGCATTTTAGAATCTGACGAGGCATGTTGTTCTTATTTCTTTAGTAAAAGTGTGTCGTTTTGAATTTTGATGGTTGGCTCGTCTGAATTGGGTAGCTTTTATCGCTACTCTATACCTGTCCAGTATGGATGGTTTCCATAGTTGAATATCAGCTATCCTTTGTCTTGGAAAAAGGCGTCGCTTCTGAGTTTTTTGTTCACTCTTGGGCAGGTCCTCAGTGTGTGCTTTCATGTGCAAAAGAACAAAGACCCCTGCCTAAACAGGGTTTTACTTGTTGCCTTGCCATGGATGGTGTCAAAGTACTTGCATCTGGCTTTGATATGGATGAGAAGGTACTGTGCATTTGAAATATTATCAATACAAGTTAGCTTAGCTTTATTTATTTTCCATTCATTTTCTCTTAGCAAGTTGACAAGCATTCTTCGCATGACTGTTGTCATGTTTTCTTTTCACCTTTTTTAGGCCTCTGGCTTCGGAATAACTAAGAGGGGACCTGCACCTTTTTCTGGTTGTTATCTTCAATTAAAATATTGCTAGATTTTCAAGGAATTTTCGTTGGGCTGATATGATGGATATAATCTGTATGTGTATATCTGTGTTATAACGATCTCAAAAAGTGATTGCTCAAAATCAATGTCTTAGAATTAATCGATGTACAAGTTTCCCATTCAATCTAGTAATGTTGATCATATGTATCGTGATGCAGATGAAGATAGGAGAGTTAGTAAATTCTATGGGAGGAATTCTGCATACTAAAGCATCACTGGATGTAAACTTTGTGATTGTGAAAAATGTTTTAGCTGCAAAGTACAAGGTATTGTAAAAGAAGCTTATGCTCCACATTATTCTTAAATCTTAATCACTTCTCTTTATTCTTTGTCATGTTGATTATTATACTCTTATGACCCTTTTCTGTCTCTGTGTATCACATGCTTGCATGCAGTATCATGCGCATGTTAATGCCAAAATATCATTGCTTGAATTTTTCTAGAGGGTGCAATAACTAAACTTGGTCGAACATCCAAAGGGTGAAACTCCTAGGCTAATATAGGTTGGCATTATCTGGCATTATTCCTGGCTTCTGATGTAGGGAGTAATGTTACCCTTTTTTGAGACTATTGTAATCAAGACGTGGTTTGATTGTTTTTTCCTTAGATAATGCCTTTAGCATTTAGGGGAAGTTAGGTATTTTTTTATGACCCTTGATGACATCTATTAACAGTCTACTATATATTTATACATATGTGTGTGTGTGTGTGTGTATATATGGTTGTCTAGTCATTTTTGGTAACCACTTCTGCTTTGCATAGTTCAGTTCCCAAATTACTGCTGGTAGCGGATTCAAATCTTGAAAGAGTTAATGGCTTGTTCTTGGCCCACCATAATTAGTGTGGCAACATTTCAACTGGATCTGGATCGCCCCATTAGTTAAGATTGTTACAGATACCTAAATCTTGTTTGCCTATTTTTAATATAGGTTGTTGTTTAGTAGGTCATTAATCCTTTTCAACCCCATAAACAGATCTTCATGATGGTCTGAAATGTCTTTGAGCTCAAATTGATGCTGTACAATCTAATGTATTTAAATTGCTTTACATCTGGCAGTGGGCTTTGAATATGCTGAAGAAACCAATTGTCACTCCTAATTGGTTAAAGCAATGCTCTATTGAGCATCGCATTGTTCCTCAAGAGTCATACAGGATTCTTCCCTTTTCTGGGTTGACAATTTGTGTTACCCGAATTCCAGCAGGTTTTAGTTATCTGTTGATTTTCTTTTCAAAATATAATTTTTGTGTTTGTTGCTGCTAATTTGTTTTCATTTTATACAGATGAGCGCAGGAAAATTGAGATGCTTATTGTACAGAATGGTGGGAAATACTCTGCAGAGCTGACAAAGAAGTGCACACATTTGATTTCTGATATATCCTTGCTAGAGTTTCTTTGAACCATTATCTCTGTTTAAATCATGTGAATATTCGCCTACTGTCCAGGATTAGGAGAAAACATCCTTCTTGCTTTTGAACAATGTTTGTTGTTACATTTTTGCGTTTAGCCGCATAAGTTGGACTGTCTGTAACACTCTCTTCAAACATTAGACGACTTTGGTGTCAACTTTATCATACTGTTTTCATAATTTTGAACTGACAAGTCTCACGCTTCTAACATGAACTAATGTAAATATATACTATTTTAAATCTGTAATACTTTGAATATATCTGCTAGAGTATAATCTATCATCATCAAGAGTTTAAGTTATTAAGGAGCATGATATTCCATTCATTTTGTTTTTTAATTCGTTAACTCATTTTATGAAAACTCTTCCTTCAATTGGCGGCTACTGTTTACTTATGAGTTTAAACTAGGCGGATAATTGTGTTCTTGACTGTTCTTAAGCTCCTGAAGGTGACAAATATAAGGTGGCAAAACGATGGGGTCACATCCATATTGTGACAAAGAAATGGTTTGATCAGTCTATTGCCAGGAGGGGTAACTTTATGGTTGCTATACATTATGTTGCAGTGCCTTCTGTATTTTTGACCTTCATAATTTGATTCCAACCACAATATCTGACGACCCTATATTTTTCTTTTAAAAATTATGAATAGCATGTCTGAATGAGGAGTCCTACCCTGTTCAGCATGGACCTGTATCTTCACAAAGAATGTCCGGGGATAATTTAACAGCACAACATAGTCAAGAGAGGGAAAGTGGGAAATGGCAATCAGCAGCAGCATCTGGACCTGCAGATTCATGTATGCCTGCTGTTTCCTATGCTGAGCCTGTGGACGGAGATCCAGATGCTACACAGTCAGAAAACACTTCTGCCGCCATTTTAGATGTTCCTATCTTTGTTAATGGGACAGATCCTGAAGCACGTCCAGTGCAACCCAAAAAGGAACCAAACCTTGACAGTGCTGTAGCCAGAGATTCTGAATCTGATGATAATGACCTGTACTTATCAGAGTGCAGAATATCACTTGTTGGCTTTGAAGCCTCTGAAATGCGTAAGCTAGTTAATTTGATTCATAAGGGAGGAGGGTCCAGATATATGTCGCTTAATGACAAGTTGACACACATAGTTGTTGGAACCCCGTCAGAAATGTAAGTCTAGTTTAATGTCTTCCAGGAGTATTGTGGATGCACGTCTTCTCTATGTTTGTTGATTGTGCCCCCTCCTTTGCATTCATGTGTAAGCAACCCAATTTTGACGCTACCTGGTGGCTACCATCATAAATGTGGCTCTCTGATTGGCTTTAAGTGGAATACTGTATTCTCTTTCTTTTAGTTAGTCTTGATAATTACCATTCCAATTATGTTTTTCTCCAGAGAAAAGAAGGATGTAAGGAGCCTTGCTGCTCTGGGTATCATCTATGTTGTTAAAACTGCATGGCTTGAAGATTGTGACCGTGAAAAGAAAGAAGTTCCTGTTCTGAAGAGACATATTGCGCAAGATCTTCTTCTTCCAAAAGGTCCGCTGTTATCATCTGCAATTGTGCACAGTTATGGTCTGCATCTGTTCTCTCCTGCTTGCGTGCAAACAGGAGAAATCTTTTAATTAAACTTACTCGTGTTAAATTTTCTTTAATGGTGGTCATGAGTATATTTTTCTGAGATACATGCTCATTTTCTTATGATTGCTTAGGTTCCACATCTTTTGTGAAAGGAGTTGTAACTGGCATTATGACCATGAATAAAGGTAAAGGCTTCAGCACTCATCAGAGCCTGCAGGCTGATCAGGCGATAACTAGTATGGACTCTCGAGTTGTAATGCCATTGTCCGTGGAGAAAAGAGAAGAAAAGAAGCTGGAGATCGATGTGATCAATCAGTCCAGTCTTAAATCAATGGACAAGCCGACAAAGCAAATGCAACTTCCTGTCGTTAATAATAAAATGAAGGGTCAAAAGAAGATGCATAATGACTCTTCTCAGTGTGTGAAGTCATCAACAGTTTTCTGGGGGAGGACGTTTTGTTTTTCAAATTCTTTTCCTGAAGAGAGAGTAAGTTTTTATTGTCTATGTTTATTAAATATGATATGATCTTGCACCCTAACTGTGAGTTTTGACATATGGAGTCAATGAACTAACGCATATACAGGAAGTTAAGTTAGATGGCAAATAAGATTTCTGTTCAAGTAATTATATAGTTTTGGTTTCTTTTGCCAGAGAGATGAGATTATTCAATGGATAAGTCAAGGAAAAGGAGAGGTAGTAAATGGGCACAGAAAACAGAATGCCCACTATACTATTGAGTGCCACGGTGTAACAAGGAGGTTGGAAGAAATTTCCCCGACTACGTATATCTCCAGTCATTGGATACGATCTTGTTTAGAGGTAAGCTTGATTATCTCGCAAATGTGAACTTCCCAGTTAAGGGCGCTTTTTTGTTTTTTTTTCTTGGTGTTGCTAAATGTTATTTTTGCAGCTGCCTTTTCTTTGACTTTTCTTATATTTTTCTTACTAAACAATTCATGTTTCAATCTTTATGCTCTTAATACTCTTTTAGATGATTTGAATAGGCTTTTCTTATAATTAACCGTAGTTAGTCTCATTTAGTCATTAATGTATTCATAATGAATAAATTTTTGCTATCAACTGGATTCTTTAAGAATTTACCTTGTTTGTATAATAACCATTCAGCCTTTTAATTATTGCTGATGCTGTTCTGATGTGTTTGTTGAAGAATGACTGCTTGCTGGATGTTGATAGTCACATTCTTTATTCTCCACTCCCTTGCTGTATACCTTTGCCTGGGTTTGAAAGCTTTCGGTTTTGTGTTTCTCAATATGAGGGGAAAGACAGAATGCTGCTAAGGAACTTGTGCTTTGTTCTCGGAGCTACATTTGTGGAGAAGTTGACAAAGAAAGTCACACATTTATTGTGTAAATTCATCAATGGGCCTAAGTATGAGGCTGCTTGTAAGTGGGGGATCCAGGCAGTTACCTCTGAATGGATATTTGAATGTGTCAAACAGGTATTCAATTTGGTTTCTGTGTGGAATGATAGGAGCTTGAATGCATGCTGGTCTGCAAACTCATCTTATTTTGCATACATGTCTTAGTGCATTATGTACATATGTTGATAGGCCCTTGGGAGACAGCAAAAGAATTGTTAAACAATGTGCTAATTATTTCAGAATAAAGTTGTTGGTGTTGATCAATTTTTACCCAAAGAAGTTTCTGTTCAAGATCATGAGAACCAGGAGGCAGGAGTTTTTACTGTGAGTCAATTTCCTAACCCGGCTGAAAGCATAGGTGGAGACAGCTCTGCCCAGTTTTCAAGTCGATCACAAAATTTGAGAAACATACCAAATCAAAATATGGCTAGTCAAGTCGACAATTATGAGGTTAATGCTAAAATATCAAGTGTTTACTGCAAAAGGGCAAGGCTTTTGGAAGAGTCTGGCCTGTATGATACAGTGCCTTCGGCTGTAGCTTCAGCTACCCCTATCTACGATATGAGTTCTACAGGAAACAATACGCTAATAGATACTAGTAAGGTGTCTCCGGCTGTTCCTGATGTTGCTGCTGCAATTGAGGACTTGTTAGAGCAGACTAGTAAGGTAACAATACTATATTTTTTATGGTATTTTGAGATGCCGAATATTAATAATTTATGCCTGGCATTTGCCCCATTATGTCCATATTTACTTCTGAACTTATGCTTTTCCTTTTCCTTGAAGATGGATGACCAGACATCCCCAGGGAAGACTGTGAATAAGCGAAATGTATCCTTCAAGTGTAGTCATTTCGTTATGTTTCATGATATGATTGAGTTTTCATTTTGCTTTTAAACGAGTTGTAGTCCTTGATGATAGATTAGAATTTTTCGTCTGATTGTTCTGTTCTTGGTGAAAACCAATCAAATCCTCATACTGTCATTGGATTTTCTGAGCACTGGTTGAACAGGCAAGCTTTATATTTCTCTCTCTTTACTGATTGACCTTTAGCTGTCATTATTTTACACTGTCGTCCTTGGTCAAAATTATATACGCCTTTGTTATTATTGTTCTTCTCATTCTTCTTCTAATGATCTCATAGTTTGTATTTAACGCAGAAGCCATCATAAGTGTGCAATAAATGTCCTTTTTTATTTTCACGTTAATGATTTTTGCATTAATCCTAATTATTTATTGGTGATCTAGAGATGATTTTTTCTTTCTCTCAACTCTCATCGGATCTAAGAATGATCAATTTATTAGTTTAGTACTGTATTTTCTCTTAAAATTTCAACACTGTTGACTGCAGAACTAGAAAAGCTAATTCATTGTTCATTTGTTTTCTTAGTGTTTGTATTGAGCTAATGATTTTTCCTTCAGAAGTAGCAGAAACGAGGATAATGATGATGCTTCTCGAGATGGAAGAGCAGCTTATGATAATTTTAGTGAAACACAAACGGAATCTCAGGTTTTATCTGGCAATCACATACGACTCCTTAGTTTTTGATTTTTTTTTTTTGGGGCTTGCTTCTGTTCTATTTATTAACGACTCAGTGCCAGATCCAAATTTGATTATAAGTGCAAGATCTGTCTGTCACTTGAACAAAGATTTAACTTCTGCTTGCACTGTTTAGTTGTGATCAATCGTTGGCATCCCTTGTGAATATTATCCTGCTTTCCTCTTAATGGTTCGATCCTGAAAATCAGTTTTGTATTTCAAACTCAGGTTGTTGGTTACGAAGAAGATTTGTCTGGAAGACAAATGCTTATTGACAGAGTCCGAACCCGTGGTAGTATGGCTTGAAGTATTAGGACGGCCCCTTGAAGAAAGATCTAGAAGGATATGATAATTTGATGATGAATCGGCGTTTACAAGGTAATGAAAGAAAATCATGTCCTGTCTTGCATCAGTAACATTGGTTTTTAAAAAGGTCAACCTTGCTAAGGGTCAGCTATCAAGGGTGTTAAGGATGCATCAGGCCAGTATTAGAAAGTAAATATTAACCATGCTGATCGGGAGAAGTCACACCCATATTACTTGCTAGGATCGGAAAGGAAGGACGGAAGAAGGGAATATTTTGATATTTTTTGCCGGCGTGTTGTATCTATTGATTTGTGACAAGTTATTAAGCCAGTCCCAACTAGGAAAAATAAATAATCATGTTTGCCCAAAACTTGAACTGTACACTGATCATTGACTCGTGCGGCATAGGGCCTGATTCTCTGCAAACTCTAGTGGGACAATGTTAATTCAAGTTCGGTACCTGGCCCAAAAAAAAAAAAAGGGTTCACTACATTTTTTGCATTTAATTTTAAAATATAACGAAATATCCTTTTGGAACGAAAAAACTAGAAACTTTTTTGGGATAGCAAAAGCTAGAAACTTTTTCCGTAAAGATGACATGATCACAAATTCACAACGGTCTGCTCTGGGGCGTGCTCTCCGGGTTTAGTTTGTGTTTAACGTAATAATTTGGGCTTAGCCCGGTTTCTCCAAAAAGAAAAAGTGATACAAGGAAAAATTAAATTTTACCTGTGTGGGTGCACGAGTCACTAATTTAAATTGAAAAAACACATCAACTTTAAAAAGTTATCCAAATAGTTTCAGTTTTCAGTCTTGTGAATATAATTTTTCCTCTTTTTTTGTTTAAAATTTATTTTATTTGAATTAGATCCTTATTATTTGATTTAGTGATTTTTAATTTATAAAATTTTAGCCATAGAAATGTACAGTGTTAAAATGGTATTAGAAGGAATGAAAAAAATGTGACAAAGTTCATAAAATTTTATAAATTAAAATTAATGAGTTTTACAGTTAAGAGGAAATATCCGGAATTGATAAAATTCTAATGAATAAATAAATTAAACTATACGTACTCGACTTAAAATTGAAATAAACTATGAGGATTTTATTTTTGTGGGGAAAAAAAGAGGTGTTGTCTAATGTCAAGCTTGTACAACGAAATGAGAAAATTAAGTGCAACAATCAAACTAAAAGATTATGGAAACTGACGGAAGGTGGCGTCAACCAAAGAGCATCAAGACACCTATCCATCAATTCAATTCAAAAGCTATCTGATACCTCAACCACGAAAACAAGATATTGGTGCAATCCAATATCCAATATCCACGCATATTTTCCCATTATCCATTTCAAATCACATACAATAATTTTCACGTCGAAATGACTTTCCACACAAAATAGTAACCAACATAAAATCTATTCGCTGATCCTTCCCTCGTAGACCTCCATGGTAATATGTCCATGCCCGTGTCACATGGCATTCTCAGTCGACATGAGTCTTACTCCTTCGCCGGTGGCCGGAGTGATCTCACCTTCATATCTTTGTTTCTTTAAGCTTCCTCACGCTTTTGGCAATGGCACTGTCTTCGGTTCCGAGTTTCAGAGGAAGGCAAGGCCACGGAGACAAATCAAGTTCGTTATCAGTGCGGAGCTTTCTAACTCCTTCTCGTTAAATTTCGGATTAGATTCCCAGGTCCTTTTTCTTCCCACTAATATTTCAACTCTGTTCTTCCTCTTCAGATTGATGGTTCTTGAAATTTGAATTTTTTTTAGCTCGTTTCTTTGTAAAGCTGCTAATTGATGCGTTGCTTGAGTTACTGAAGCTCCACTGTGTCCAGTTGCATGGCCATTTGTGGTATTGTCAGGATTTGATTTTATCACCACTCGCGTCCCAGAGACATTTTGATGATATTAAGGCAGGAAATCCTGGGATGATTTCGTATGGTCGTGCTTTAAAATAGTTTTGGGAAATCAATATTTATGCGGCAAAGCCCGTTTTACTTGATATTCCTTCAAATGTCGTAAAAACGGCATCTTGACGATCCTTCACTGCTTTTTCGATTAGTTTTGAACATGCTGAACTGGTTACGCACGTATCATGCTCTGGTTCCCGTGATCTTCTTCCCTTGGATTGTTGCATGCTTTCTTTTTCATTTGAACGAGCCGATCTTCCCTCTTATATTAAATTCAATACTTAAAAGAAGTACCGTTTCAGTTCATTTAGAATGACCCTTTGGTAGTTGTAATATATACTATTAATATTAACTACCGCTTGCATTAAAACCCAGAATATATAATTCAACATCCAGTATAATTTCTTTTAAGTCTGTAAACATACATCCGCTGGTCTCTTTGACTTCATTTTTTTTCTGTTCATGCTTTAATGATTTGATCTCGAAAAGTTTCAGGCCGTAAACTGACAATCTCTTGCAAATTGACCTCCTCTCCCTTTTCAGAGTTTGAAATCCTTTCAATCCCATGATCCATCACAGTTGCCTTGGATGGGACCAATGCCTGGCGATATCGCTGAAGTAGAGGCATACTGTAGGATCTTTAGAGCCTCTGAAAGGCTTCATTCAGCATTAATGGATGCATTATGCAACCCGATGACTGGTGAATGTAGTGTCTCATATGAAGTTCCTTCCGATGAGAAACCTCAACTGGAAGATAAATTAGTCTCTGTCCTTGGATGCATGATTTCACTTGTGAACAAAGCCAGGGAGGATGTTCTTTCTGGTAGATCCTCAATTATGAATCCCTTTCGCGTGGCAGAAGTCAGCATAATGGAGGATGAGCTTCCCCCCCTTGCTGCTTTTAGGAGTGAGATGAAAAGGTGTTGTGAGAGCTTGCATGTAGCTCTTGAGAATTATTTGACACCTGATGACAATCGAAGCTTGGATGTATGGAGGAAACTCCAGCGACTAAAGAATGTTTGCTACGATTCTGGTTTTCCTCGTGGGGACAATCATCCTTGCCATACACTTTTTGCAAATTGGAGTCCTGTATATTTATCCACTTCAAAAGAGGACACAAAATCTAACTCTGAGGCAGCTTTTTGGATGGGCAGTCAGGTAACAGAAGAAGGCCTGAAGTGGTTATTGGACCAAGGATATAAAACTATTATTGATCTGAGAGCGGAGACTGTTAATGATAACTTCTACCAAGCAGCCATTCAAGATGCTATTGCATCAGGAAAAATTGAAGTGGTTAAAATTCCAGTAGAAGTAAAGACTGCACCTACTATGGAACAGGTTGTTAGGTTTGCATCTTATGTTTCAGACTACAGCAAAAGGCCTCTCTATCTTCACAGCAAGGAAGGAGTTTGGAGAACATCTGCCATGGTCTCCAGGTGGAGGCAGCACATGACTCGCTCTGCATCTCAGGCTGTTTTCAATCCAGCTGTAATTCCTAATGACAAGTTGTCGCATCTTACAAATGGTAATGGAAAACTGCAGGACTCTTTGATGAGTTCAGAGAGATCCTCTCTGGGCAAGGATATTGATTCATTATCAGAGAATTTGCGTGTAACATGTGATAGAAGTACCTTACCAAAGAATGATGACCAAAAAATGCAAAGTAAGGGGACCTTTACTCGATTCACTAATAACTACGGCATGTTGTCAGAAGCCACAATTGCAGCTCAAGGAGAGGAATCAGTTTCAGGTTTCTCCAACAAAATTAATCCTTTAAAAGCTCAGATTCCTCCTTGTGATGTCTTTTCTAAAAAGGAGATGTCCACCTTTTTGGGGATTGGGAAGATCTCGCCAAACTCATTTTTTAATTATAAGATTAAAAGATTGGAATCCTTGCCAGATTCAAGGAACATGTATACTGGCGGGTTGAATGGGGGTTTGATCATCAGCAATGGTAATAATCGTGTACCCAAAATTATGGACCCAGGAAGTTCCGACGGGTCAGCTATTGGGGACTATTCATCAGGAGAGCCACAGATTAAAGCTGATGGCAATTCCAAGTCGCTGAATAGAAGTACTTCTAATGATGTTAGGAGCACAATAAATGGGTTTAGTGAAGAAAAAATGCATTCCATGCCTACTTCCAGTGTCTCTAATGCTGTGAACAAATACTCCGATGACATCACAAATAAATCTCCAAGGGTTGGAGACGGTAGGGGTGACTCAGGAACAACCTCACATGATGAAGACTCTGGACCCGTTGAAGGGAATATGTGTGCATCTTCGACAGGTGTTGTGAGGTTGCAGTCAAGAAAGAAAGCGGAGATGTTCTTAGTACGAACTGACGGATTTTCTTGTGCCAGAGAAAAGGTGACCGAATCTTCTTTGGCTTTCACTCATCCAAGCACCCAGCAACAGATGCTTATGTGGAAATCTGTGCCGAAGACTGTATTATTGTTCAAAAAGATGGGGGAAGAACTGATGGAAGAAGCTAAACAGGTGACTTTCTTTTAAATATATGCCGGGGACCAAGTCAGTGCTAAGAATATGTCCTCTTTGGTACTTCACTGATCCAGACGTCAGAGTTTCTAAACTTGGTGTTTACGAACTATATATTTGCAAAAGTTTTAGCTGTATATATGTCAGACATTGAAGTAGAGGGCATAATTGTGCAAGTTATGCTCATTCATCTAAAAGGCCAAAAAAAAGTTGACCGTCATTAGGTTCAAATTGAACTGCACCCAAATTTTCTCCTCTTTATCTATAACCAACCTATCAGCTATTTGATATTTCTCTGGAAACTTTTGCATTCGAGTCTTTGGCGAATCAAATACTTTGTGTTCCTCACGAACGAAGGATTGGATATAATTTTTACATCAAAAGCTATAGTATTCCGTTTATCGCTTTCATATGTTCAATTTGTGCGGGATTAAGTTGTCCCATGTTGCTTGCGTAGCTAAGTATCTGAATAATTGTAGTTAAATTGATATACTTAATGGATGTTAGACAGAAAATTGAAAAATTTATTGAGCTGGTTTTCCTCAAGCAAGGGGAGGAGGTGGATTCAGGTTTTCAAAATTCAGGAGCGAGAGGCTTTGAAATTTGAGGACATGGGAGTATTATCAAATGTGTTATTCTGTAATCTTTTTATTTTTATTCTTTTTGCTTATTATTCTGAGATGATTTGATTACACTGTTTAAACAGGGAAAGTGATTGAACAAGTTGGTTATTGTGTTTTGTCAATAACGTAAGTCAACATTAAAAGGGAATATGATCAATTGGTCCATATCTTTGTAAAAATTTCCTCATAGTGGTTCTCCCGAAAATATACATTATTATCAAGTTTTGTTTTAAATTCGACTAAGTCCACTCTCAGTTCAGTTACAATTTCTATTCTGTAGGTTGCTTCTTTTTTATATTACCAAGAGAAAATGAACGTTCTTGTGGAACCTGATGTGCATGATCTATTTGCTAGGATTCCAGGGTTTGGATTTGTTCAGACCTTCTATAGTCATGATACCAGGTACTAGAGTTTGAGACGTTATGCGCAATAATGTATTTTCTAGTTCAGATAAAGCTGCAGTTCAACTGCTAGTTTCTTACCATATCAAATGCCTTGACACAGTGATCTGCATGAGAACGTAGATTTTGTGGCATGCTTGGGTGGAGACGGTGTTATACTCCATGCTTCAAATATATTTAAGGATGCTGTGCCCCCTGTTGTATCGTTTAACCTTGGCTCCCTTGGTTTTCTGACTTCTCATCATGTACGCTTTTTCAACTGAACAATATCTTTTACCACAAAGTAATGTAGGCAGCTCTTTGGTAATTTATTTGACTCTTTTTTTTGTCCTCTGCAAATAGTTTGAAGATTACATGCAGGACTTACGTCAAGTCATCCATGGAAATACCACACGAGATGGTGTATACATCACTCTTAGAATGCGTCTTCGATGTGAACTTTTTCATAAGGGTAGCACAGTGCCTTGGAAAGTATTTGATGTCCTTAATGAGGTTGTTGTTGATCGAGGCTCTAATCCTTACCTTTCAAAGATAGAATGTTATGAACACGGTAGGCTTATAACCAAGGTGAGTTTCGTTAATTTTCATCACCTCTTCAAACTTTCAAATCACTTCATTTTGTAGATTAGGACCATCGGTCTAGAGTATTTGATATCTCTGAACACCAGCATGTAGCATTTCCATCTGCTCTTCATGTATGATAACTGCTGTGACTTTCAGGTACAAGGTGATGGAGTCATTGTGGCTACCCCAACGGGAAGTACGGCCTATTCTACAGCTGCAGGAGGTTCCATGGTAAGCTTTTGCTAGAGTATTATTTGTAGTCCCATATACTTTGTGCATATAAAATTGATAGGGAGCATTGGCTTGATATGCTTTCTGTTTTTTCAAATTCTCGGGTCATCCAAGCTTGCCCTACTGTCTCCCAAAATTCTCTCAACACAGCAGCGGATGTAGGATAGTGTTTGAGCGTCTTATCATTCATGGCATAGCGTTATAGGCGGTGGTTTCCTTTTTCATTTTTTGGGGACAACGACCCTTTTTAGGTCATTGAAAGATGATGTCTTGTCAATTTGACACACTAGAATTTAATATTACCGCAGTTTTCAAGTGCGATTTTGTTGTTGATGTCCTCCTTTGGCTGGGCAATAAAATACCGTCAATATCGTCTTTTGATCACTAAAATATTATGTCCTTAGCAGTAAAGTAAGAGAAAACTGAGGTTTCGAAACCGCGAGAAGCTGCACCATACGGTCATGCTGAGAGGCAAGAGAAGACCTGAGAGGGGTGGGTGGCCCGACTCGTAAATGGGGCCCACGCATCGTTCTCAGTCTCTCTGACATCACAGCAACTTGTGGCTGCTGCAGAGAAGCGAGTCCTAAAAAACTGTTATACAGGCGAACTCGGTAAGATAAAGATGGAGTGAGATATAGACATATAGCGTTGAGGGTCATGATATAACCAAGACAAACAAAAAAAAAAAAAAACAAAGTGAGCAGAAACCACCTAAGTGATGGCAGCACCATCTTGGAGACGTGATTTTATTAGAATTTTTTCCCGGTTCTTTATGAATGTTGCTTCATACCTGATTGCGCTATTGTCTACTGTAATGTTCATTGCTAATTTTGAAAAATATCACGACAGGTACATCCAAATGTTCCCTGCATCCTATTCACCCCAATCTGTCCACATTCACTCTCATTCAGACCAGTTATACTTCCAGATTCTGCTCAATTGGAACTAAAGGTAAAGCTAATCATTCTGTGCGTTGAAAATGGATATGGGATGTTCTTGATTTAGTCCCAGAATGATTAGGGGTGATTTATAAATTTTTAATTGGTTTTTGAAATTAGGATGTGAGTTAACTTGGGTCTATTAGTAACAGATTCCAGAAGATGCAAGAAGCAATGCATGGGTGTCATTTGATGGGAAAAGAAGGCAGCAGCTTTCAAGAGGAGATTCTGTTCGAATATCTATGAGTCAGCATCCACTCCCCACTGTTAACAAATTTGACCAAACGGGTGATTGGTTTCGTAGCTTGATTCGCTGTCTGAATTGGAATGAAAGGCTCGATCAGAAGGCTTTATAAAGTATGTGAGCGTGAAAAACACTTGTGTGTTATTCTCCAGAGAAGACAGGACCTGTGTAACTATTGTACAGATTATACATACGTCTAGATTACAGAACTCTAGAGTTAGCTGATACTACCTGTTTCTTATATTGGCTTCCCATGTAAAGATAGGATTTGCCAATTGTTTCTCCACATGTCATCTTGACAAGATGCTGTTGTATAGTTAAAATATTTCAAACACTTGTATATTTATCTCAGGATGCTAAGGGCACACTTGAAGGTCAAAAGTGTTCGCTCAATTTGTTTTTCTCTGTAAAATCTTTTGTACCAACCGGAAATTCTGGGCTGAAAAGTTTAACGGCCTGCAAGACAATCCAGGGAAGTAGAAGATGTTTCTTATGGTTTGTTCTCAGCTGGCTGGATTATTTCAAACTCCGTTATGTTCCATTTCCTCGTCAGATATTTAAGATTTATTATTTTGCCAGTTGCGGAGTAAATTTGTATATACTTGCTCAAGAGGCAAAATAACACAAACTGATTCTAATGGTGATTATGACGATTTACCAAATGAAAAGGGAACGTATGATTTGTTATATCAGATGCAGGGTAAACTCGATTACCGAGAGGTAAGTGGTCTCTGTGTAAATTTTATAGTGATGGCTTGAGACAGAATAACTAGTGGTTACTGTGAAGAAGAGCGAAGTTTCTATCCAATAGATATAAAAGTGCAGAATTTATGTGATATTACTGTTGTACATGCAAACCTCGACGGGCTCACAAGTTCTCACCCCCATAACAGTCAAGACAAACCAACACTCTAAGGTCCTGTTTGGTAGGAAGCATTGAAAATAAGGGATTGAGATTGGGATTGCAATTAAAAAAAATCATTAAAATAGTATTTAACATGAGTAATTGCTTGTTATATGGGATTAGGCAAACCTATAGAGGTGGAATTAGGGAATACCACTTTCCCCCATGTTATTCTCCAATCCCACATACATGAGTTTGGCTAATCTCATATAAGAAGCAATCTCTTATACTAAATACTCTTTTAATAGATTTTTTCAATTGTAATCACAATCTCAATCTCTCATTTTCAATATTTCCTACCAAACGCAACCTAAATGACAGGGAAAAACAGCGATTACTTTCACTTACTAGAAACAAAGAGATGGACAACTCGGCTACCAAGTTAATTATTGGCCGTCAAGCATGTCTAACATCAGTTCACCAAGATTGATCAGCCACAAGTAAAAGAGGACTGTTTCCTTCTTTTTCTTTTCTTTTCTTTTTTTTTTGCTTTTTGGTCATATGGCTCTAACGGCTTGAAACCTTGGCTCCTTTGGAAGGAACTTCTGTTCAGCATAGACAGACATGTACTCATGAAAAACGAATCTGGGGTAAACTCCTGCTTGGTTTTCTTTTGCCAACAATTGTGGTGCGGGACATATCATGGCTCGGAGTGATGGATTAGAGAAGGAAGCAATTGATCTCCTGGTCCTATCTGGGGTGACTAAAACCCGATGCAGACAATTCTTGTATCGGCCATTGCTTAGGACCTCAATCTGATCACCAATGTTAATGACAATAGCATTTGGCAAAGGTTGGATATCAACCCATTGCCCATCTTTGAGCATTTGAAGACCACCCACCTGATCATCTTGGAAGAGTAGGATAACACCTCCTGCGTCAGTGTGAGCTCGCAGGCCATTCACAAGCTCTGGATAAGGACATGGTGGGTAGTAGCTGACCTTGGTACCAAAGAAGCCACCTTCTTCTTCTCCACCATTCAGTGCCTTCTTGATGTATCCTTTGGGTAACCCCAAATTCTCGTCCATCACTTCCATTACTCTCTCTGCAAATTTCTTTAACTCAGACCGATATTCTGCCATGGTTTCCCTATCATCATGTGAAAGGTCATGAAATTATGCTGTAAATCTACTCATTCTATCTGAATTTCGAATTTCATATTTTTTATTTTAATCATTGAAAGTTCCTATTTTCAACCCTGCAGAAAGTTCAGAAAGATTTTCTAAATGTTTGCATTGGTGGAGAAGTTGAACTTAAACTGAAATTTGATTAACTCCTGCAGGCCTGAAGTTATAGAAAAAACATAATTTCTTAAAAAGCAAAGGATATCTGACTTTGTTTTTAATACAAAGAATCATTGGTTTTGAATATGTACCTGAATCCGGGAGTTTTTTCTGGCCTTCATTATCATCCAGAAGAGTGAACACATCCTCCCAGTCCACATTTTCCAACTTCTCGCCTCTCTTCTTTTCAACCATTTCATTTAGTAGCTTCACTGGTGCTGAGCTTTTGAAGTTTTCCTCTCTTTCCAGTTCATAGCATTCTGAGCTAATCTTCTTCACCATCTCAAGCAGCTCCTCTGGAATTCCATGGTTGACCAGCTGTAAAACAGTGTGTAAGTTTTGTACCTTACAAAAAAGCCACGAAATATGACTGGTAATGTATTCATTTTCTATTTCAGACCTTGAACTTATTATAAACCGTAGACTCTAATAATAAACTACATGAGTACGTGGAAGAATCCCCATTCTTCACATCCATTCGCAATCAGTGTCGTAGTTTTGGCTCTTTCCTCCCCATTTAACTTTGAGAAATCTATCACGGGAATTTCCATCAGAGTAGAACTGAGCAAGATACAGAAAAGCTCCGATGCTTGGTGGATGCTTATTATGCAGAGAGAGAAAACAGAGCAGGCAGTTTGAGAGTTTGAGCTTAGCTAACCTGTTCAGTGATGACCCATAAAAGGGGCACCTTCGCCTATTAATAAGAATAGCTTCCAGTCACCTTTGATTTCAACCCATAATATCTCTTTTCCTTTTGGCTTAAGAAGTTATGTTGCAAATGCTTTGATTTGTGGGGAACTTCTGGCCTACAAGGTTACAACACATGCTATCTCGGCTAATGCATATCTCTAATTTTCCACCATTGTTTTCGTTTAATTAATGACTAATGATGCATAAACCCTTTCGGTTCTCTATCATATGATTACACCATTGGAAAGTACTTAGAAATTAACATGCGCATATACATTCCGCTACTGCCTTTATGTGGTTCAGAATCAAGCAAGTCTTGTTTCAACCAACTAAACTACTTTTGGTTTGCATGGTTATGAAGTTTCAAAGATCAAATCGTTCCAGTAAACTTCTTAGATTGCTGAGAAGATTATGACCAGTTTCTCCTTTGTAGGCTTTCTTCGATCATTCTTTTGCTTATAGTTTAAATATCTTCCTGGTCATGTATTACTTCGTAGCATTACCGATTGACTTTGACACATGGCATGCTTCATGACCAAAGGAATTTAATTATTTGAACGTTAACAGGCAGATTTGCAGCCTTGGTTTTAGGGCTAAGGAAGGCGTGGTCAAAGCTTTAATTAATATACATTTATGTTATTAAACTCAACTTTCTGGTATATTGCAAGTAACCCGGTTTGTTTTCCTTGTTATAAGCTGTGTTTTATATGTTGATGTTGGCCAAAAAAAATGTTTCATATATAGATATATTGATGATAGATAACTATTTATAATTTTAAAATCATATTAATAAATTTTCTACTTTTTAGTTATATCACAGGGTTTAAATAATTGACCAACGCATGCTCATTACTTGTACCATCCAAAATAAAACGAAGTGTCACTTAACATTCGATTTTTGCCAGCCAATAGTAGCATTAATTTAATAATAATTATTAAAAATATTTTTGTGTCAAAAATTTCACTTAATTTCTATTTATGAATTTAAAATTTCATTATAAAGACTTGGGCACATTTTATTCTTATTGCAAAATATTTAAGTTGTTATACTATTATATACTGTTTATTTTTATACTTGAGAATTCAAAAGTTTGTGATGTACATTCTGATAAACTTCTCAAGAGTGACCCCATACCTTGTTGAAAATTCACAAATAAGTCCATTGCGGCCTGAATTTTAAATTTCTTATAAGAAAACATTGAATTTTGACGTCAAGCACTAAAAGAAGAACAACATCAGAGTGTGCGATCCAATTGATGATTAAGAAAAAGTTGCTTCCTATGCTTTGGAGTTTGAATTATTAGCTTTGTAATCTGATTCCGATGCTAATGTTCTGTGGTTGCTATTGTAGGTGACGCTAAGAGAAATGATTCTCTCGAATTTTCATCGATATTCCCCCTGATTTTAAAAAAAATTTCAATTTTAAAACTGGACTAAAGTGATTGTTAATTTGTCATTTTAAAACTTTTAATATGTTATTAATTAGTTTTTATGTTATTTTATTTTATCCTTATTTTTTATTTAAATTTTATTTTTATCCATGAACTCTACAGTAATACTCCTCATGCATCAGAAACATTTGTCACTTTGAAGTTATGCTTGTGCATATATATTTGAAAACTTATAAATAGCCTAAATTTTAATAAAAATGCAATAACTTTTTTTTTCAAAAAAATACTCTTATTTATTATACTCTCCCATAACATTTGTCATGAAATAAAATCTTCATAAGCATAATCGATGTTTCCATAAAAACTCACTAACATTTTGAAACAATAATAACAAGCCTCAAAGTGACAATTTTTTCTGGAATGAAAGAAAAATTTTAGACTGCTGATTCTTTTTTTAAACATCAGGACTGTTGATTCTCAAAGGGGCAATGCTTCGCTGGTGAAGACGTAGAAGATAAGTACGTAAACAATAAAGGACATTCTTTTTTTTTTTTTGTGGCCAAAAATTCTAAGTATTATATCAAGACAAATTACTTGTTCAGTGCCAGCCTGCCAGCCCTGAAGCAGGGACGAGCAGGATTCTTATTATTCTTCTTTTTTGAAAATATCTTTCATACATTCTATCTTCTATATTAAAATTTTCCTTCTTATAATATTCCTGTTTATTGGGATATTTCTATGTATGCATATTAAATTGATATTTTGGAGAAATGTCATGGATTCCCTGCAAGTGGCTGATTGCTACTATATTTTGACTGCATAATGCGTATCTCGTTCTGATTCATATCGCCATCCTTAAATAAGGAGATAATGTAAAAGAAAAATGTAAAATAAACCACCACAAGCTGGATAAGTTAATTTTATACTCATTGGGTCCTTAATATAAAACTGAATTGAAGAGTTAATATTAATCCTATATAAAAGACCTATTTTATCTGTTTATCAATTTTTTTTTCAAATTAACCTTATTGATATTTTCTGAAAAAAAAAGAATTAAAAAAGATGCTTAGAATATTTTTTTAAAAAAAACACATTATATTAATTAATTTAACTAATATCTTTAATTTATATCCTACATTAATTACTGAACTAGAGGAGTATAAAATAAGCTTCATATCTTACACGCTAACCGTACAAACGCCAATGACAAAAATAAGCTCAGACAATTGTCAGAATGCCGGATCATTTATGGCCCACTTTTGGCCCTCCCTTCGCCCGGACAGACCATGCCAAGCATTCATGATACTATATAATTATATAGCATGTACATATATCAGCTACTGAAAAAAAATGCTAATGATCAAACTTCGCTTACAGGAAGCAACAAAAAGAAAAACCATTATATCCAGGGAAAACTATGAAATAGGCAAAGATCGTCATCTACCCCTTAATCTTGCTGTTAAAAAGGAACCATGTCAAAATCATCATCTTGAGTCTTGACTCTCTGTCAGCGCATCAAGGAAGGTAAAGGAGTAAGAACATAGCCCCGCGCTGCCCCCATATTATGGAGTTCGTTCATGCTGAAGGTGAAGGACGACAGAACCAGCAGAAAAAAATGTCGCCGAGACACTAATAGGCTCCTGCAAATGAGAGCAGGGAAAAACAATTCTCACGACTCCAGTGACAAGCAGGAGATGGTATTAGTCCGTTTAACAGAATTAAGCTCAAGTTGTGACTGGGTTTTTATTAAAAAAAAAAGCGCACGAGTCTGATTTGCGAAGTTTGCTTCTTTTTTCCTTTTTGGTCCTTTGATACCCACCTCCAGTTCAGAAGCATCGAACAGCTAGAAATCAAATAGTTCTTGGGATTCCATTGGAGATGCCCAATATTGCAGCAGTGACTCCACAGTTAACCTTCGAGTTGCACTAAGCATTGAGATGAAAAACCGACAACCATCAATTTTGTACTCTTCAAGAGGATTTCTATGTCCAAAACTCCTTACATTTACCTGTCAAACTCTGAGATAAGCCTTTTGC